AAGAAAATATAGCAGCATTAATAATTTATATTTACAAGGAACCTCGAATCACAAGGCCACCCACCGGGTCAGCTTGATGCCATTTGAGGTCTAAAGTATAATTGTTAAATTAGGCATTCTACATAATTATATTAATACAGTATTAATAATTTATATTAAAAAAATGATTCTCTTTACTTTAGCTCGCAATAAGTTCAAGAAAATTTAAAACACTATTTATGTTTGTAACTTAATAGATGGTGATTTTATTATGCTAAAAATCTACTAATGAGAGTCAATAAATTAGGAACTACAAATTTCTGAACTGGCATTGCTATGCAAGAGAATTAAAAAATTATAAAAGTGTGAAAATGTTGCCAAAAAAAAAAAAAAATGGTAATTATATAAGATAAAACTAAAAAAGACTTGTATTTTGTTTTCCTTTTCGGAAAGGTAGAGGTAAGAACCAATACCACTCATCCACTTGGCCCTTTGATAAAAAGAAATTTATATTGACGGAGAGCATCTGTGTTTATATGGTAATTAATACAATGGACAATTTTTTTTTTAATTAATTAATATATATATATATATAACCAATATAAAAGAAACTTATGTAGACAAATAGAAGAACAATTGTATTTATTTAGTAATTAATATAATATAAAAATCATAATTTAATTTATTAAAAGAAATATATAACTAATATAATGAGACATGGGTCCCTGTTGGGGGCCTTAGACGACCACCTTAATTGTCTTATGGTTGAACTGGCTCTAACAACACATTTAAAATAATTGTATATTAGATATAGGGCGTCTTTTGCGGAGCCTTAGACAACAGTCTTAACTGTTTCATGATTGAGTCCTCTTTAACTACTTTCTTTTTTTTTTTGTTTTTTTGGATGAATGAGATTAAATTTGAAATACAAGTAACATTTCTGAGTCATCCTAGTCTTACAGGGATTAAGACTGATAATTTATAGTTGAAAAATAAGAAAGTAGTAGAAACCTATATATATATATATATAGATAAGGAAAAAAAAAATGAAAGTAAAACAGTAATTATATTATTATACCAATATTTCCTACATCAATATCATTGCATGATATTATTTTATACATATATATATATATATATAGGGAAAAAAATGAAAGTAAAACAGTAATTATATTATTATACCAATATTTCCTACATCAACATCGTTGCATGATATTATTCTAAGCAGTAGAACATGGGCTCTAACTTTGTTAAAGCGAATGTACACAGATAACTAGTTTTCCCTATTTTATTTCCTTGACAGCTTACATGTCTTGAACAATTAGCTACCTTCATTTATGCTAGCACCAGATTCTCTCCATTGATAAAAGCACAAATTTGTTCACCTTCAATTGGGACTTACAACCCATAAAATTTATTAGTACTGCTAATAGTTTAAGCTTTTAACTCGGATCGTGAAACACTCGGCTGTGACAATTAGCACATATTTTATGTTTGTGTAGTTTGGTTTGCTATTAACTTACCACTCTGTTCAAGTTTTAGAGTAATTGAGGATTAATGTGAAGATAATGTTCTGACTTCAAATCTCATCCTTCTCATTATGACAAAATATGGTAAAACAAAGAAGGTTAATACCATCGTTCATGTTTTAGAGTAGTTGAGGATTAAGTTGAAGAAAATGTTTTGACTTCAAATCCCATCCTTCTCATTATGACAAATTATGATAAAGCACAAAAACAATCAAGAAGTATGCAGTGAAACAAAATGAATAATCAAACATTACAATGAATATAGAGATTTAATGTGATTGTCAGAACGAGAAATAGATTTCGATTTCACTATTTTTGCATTTGGGAGGATGTACAAGTTTTTCAAATCCTATACACCTTTGTTGTCTCTTTCTCTATTTCGAGATTTTCACCATTTAGTCTTGACAACACAAATCCTATCACCAAAAACCTGATTCAAACCATTCAAGAAAATAAATAAGTAAAAAAATTATTCGGGTCAAAACCAGATCATAGCATCATGACCAAGACCACAAGAAAAATCGGCCCAAAACTAACAGTTCCTTGACTACTTATAATAGGAAAATGATAGATATGATAAAGTGTCGATCGGTTTTTATTAAACTCTGAGTTACGTTACTTCAGGGAAAGTGCACTAACAGTTGAGTAGTCGTTGCTGTTCAAAACCCACGGAGTGATCTGAAAAAAGAATAAATTCCTATTATGCTAACAAAGTAGCTTTTATTCGGTTGTTCAAAAGAGAACAACATCCAACTATCCATTCAATGGCTTAAAATAGTTCAAAAAATCAGATATTCTCTCTAATAGGACGATAAGTTCGTATCATGCATTGTATGTGCACCAAGAAAAATGGAGTAGAATCACTATTTTTATTTTTTATTTTTTTTCTCCTAAATGAGTAAAATCATTAATTAAGTCCCACCGTTACAGCCTTCTTCATTGTATAGTTGAAAAAATGGAAAGCAGAGTGATACAATAAATAGTACTGTTTTGGTGATTAAGATTACAGAAGTATACAGATTAATTAATATTGTAAATTATTAAAATTTCAAGAAGCCCTTTTTTGGCACAGCGTGTGAAAATAACTTAAAAGTTCGACAGCATTCCATGTGCAGGGACATCGTGTTTGCAAAACGTACTCTCATTAAAAACTACAGGTTTTTCAACTACATATGTCATCTAATATATATACACACACATAACCTATATCAATAAACATAGAAAGCCTTGATGGGCTGTGCTTGTGTGAAGAAACGGCGGGGATATGAAGATCCAGCTGTTCTTGCATCTCAAACATGCTGTAAGCTACATTTCCTTCTGATTAATTGTTTCAGCTCAGAACTTCCTTTTTTGATTTTGTTAATATGTCAAATGAATATTAATACAAACATTTCCTTGTTATTGTGTTTTTTTTTTTTTTTTTTTTTTTTTTTTTGCCTTAAAAAAAAATCTTCATGCTTGCAGTTAATGTGACAGAAGTCAAAGCTTTGCATGAGCTCTTCAGGAAATTAAGCAGTTCTTTAGTTGATGATGGTTTTATCAGCAAAGTAAATTCCATCTCTTATTCTTAGTTTCAATAAAGCTAATGAGAGTTAGTGGACTAGTTCATTACATAATTCTTGGACATATCTCAATCATTCAAGGTTGAACATTCGCATTTGCATTTAGAGGTTCTAGTTATTACCTGAGTTTTGGGTTTGCAGGAAGAGTTTCAGCTTGGATTATTCAGGAATAACAAGAAGCAGTCTCTCTTTGCAGATAGGGTCAGATTAATTCTTCTATCTGCTTTTTTTTTCCTTCATATTTTTTTTATTTATATTTTTTGGAATTTGTATATATTCTGGCTCTTTATGTGATGATATCTATATCTTTGATTTCTTCTGTTCTTGTAGATCTTCAATTTGTTCGACTCCAAAAAGGACGGTGTGATAGAGTTTGGCGAGTTTGTCAGATGTTTGAGTATCTTCCACCCTGATGCACCCTATGCAGAAAAAGTTTCTTGTATGGAAAATTTTCTCGTTTTATCTAATCCTATGCTATGCAAATTCTTCTATACACACATTCACACTCAGAGGTTGTATTAAAGCACTTGTATCTGATGGTGCAGTTATATTTCAACTATATGATACACGGCAAACAGGCTATATTGAACCTGGAGAGGTAAAGAGTGGAACTAAAACTCTAGTAACACAGTATAATTTTGTTTCCTCTCAAAGAAAAGTGATCAACAATCGGATTATGTTTTCAGTTCATCTTGTCGATTGTTGGTACTTTTTTTTTATCGAAGCACGTATTTTTTCAGTAATTTTAATATCTCACGAAAGATATAGCTCATTCAACTTTCTTCAACCATTTGACTGGATATCTTGAACTAAAATGGTTAAAGGTCAAGGAGATGATTTTGGCTTTCCTACATGAGTCGGATTTGATACTCTCCGATGACATTATCAAAGCCATCATTGATACGGTATGAATTGCTTGATGGTATAACATTTACAAACAAGTATGGTTGTGCTAAGGATGAATATGATTTATAATTTGTATTCCTATAGACATTTGAGGAAGCAGATTCGAAAAGAGATGGCAAGATTGATATGGAAGAGTGGAAGGATTTTGTAGCTCGAAATCCATCTGTACTGAAGAACATGACAATTCCATATTTGAAGTAAATTCTCTTTTATGCCATATTTTATTTAGTTGGCTACAGTTAATAATGTTTAGTTCTGCTTTTAAATTATATTTATGTGTTCACTCACTTGTGTAGAGTATATGTGAAGACTATATGACACATAAAGTCAAACCTCACTGGAATCAGAAATTTGTTAATTTGGTGTAGCAGTAGTGAAAAACAGACTTACTGTGGCATAAAAGTAATGGAAAGAAAATTAACAAAAAAAATTATAAAACAAAAAGGAAATGAATAAAGCAGAGGAGTTCTTGATTGAAGCTACAGGAACAGTGTCTTGTTGATTCAACCCTTTCTCGATCCTATAGCTGTAACTAGATTAATTTGAAAGTTTCAGATGAGAGAATAATAAGGATAAGTTGAGAATTTCACAATCAACATGCATAAAAACTCCAACAGGAAAGAAATGTGCATTTCAAAATGAGAACATTGTCTTAACTAATAATCTAAACCTTGAAACTGATTAAGAAAGAGTTTAGAAGTTTCAAGGGCTCTCCTAAATTTCATTGCTCTGGGACAAATAAAAAGATGGGATTTGAGTACTTAATGTCATGCATTAACTTGATTCTCCTTCGTCTTTTAATTAAAAACAGAACAACTACTAGTTTCGTCTGATTTCAAAGTAATAGCCTCATTATTCCATGATAATAGTGTTTACACTATACTAACAGGTGGTTATATCATTTGTGCAGGGACATCACAACTGCATTTCCTAGTTTTCGTGCTGAGAACAGACATTGAAGATGAGTTTAACAACTTCCTTTGAAAAGAGTCAGAAAGAAGAAAACCCGAATTACTAGAAAGATAAAATTTGTACTGCTATATGCCAATAAGCATCAATAGAAATTTGGTAATGTTGGATGTATATGCAATGCTACATTTTTCTATCAAAAACAAAAACAATTCTATACAATGCCAACGTTAGTTCAAAATGCCAGTCCTATATAGATCTATACAATTGCAGGTACAGCACAAAATTCCTGTCTATAAGATTTGAGTATTGTACTAAATTTCTGGACTAACACTTATCTGGAGACTTAAGCCGCTGCTGAACTTCCCTATTCAGATCAATTCGCCTTCTGAGTTACCATATCATGCAAGTTCATGGGATAACACATTGGTGTATGAAGGCTGGACCACACATTGTCTGCCAGTATTGCATTCACTGCAGCTGTTGGATGGAATTGGTCCCACCAGACATGATTGGAAGCGTTACTGCAAGCCATTTCAGGTGAAAGGCAAATGATCCTACCCCTATACCTGCCTCGCCCACAGCAAGCATCGGTAGTGACATTGAAACCTGAATCGAATATTATATGGTATTGTAATGTGGAGTACTGATAGAAATCTAAAAAAAATGGGAGGAAAAGCAAGTTCATATGGATGTTGTTACCATAATGATCATGGTTTGTAAGTATATCATCGGAACCTTCAAGCACATCACAGAAGATGATTTTTGCATCAGTAAGCTCCTGACCAAGCTCCTCAATCATGTACCTCATTAAAAAGTTGAACTCCATTATCATGTCATTTATCATCTGGATGCACTCTCCATGCTCACTATCATACTGCGACAAGTAGTAAGGAGCACAACCGATAGGAGGTAGTCCCATTACCACCACCTTCCTGACATTTACGTTGTACAAGTTCTGTACCATATAAAAATGTTATACAGCATGTGGAAAAGAAACAATTCTTCAAGAATTTCACCAAACAGGCCAGAAAAGAAAAGAATGTGAGAGGGAAAGAAATGCATCTTATATAGAAGGGGGAGGGAGGAGAAGAAGAATTAAGCATTCTATGTCATTATATAGTTGCTGATATTATTTGCAACATTTCCTATAAGCGAACAATAAACAGATACTAGATTTTACACAATCATAATAAGGTAACTACGCGTAATTAAAATATCAAAAGCTTATGTATCCTAAGTTTGAAGAATGCCATAACAGTGCAATGATGCATGAGAGAAGAAAGCCATAAAACCTGAAATCACCAATGCTTTTATAAAGGTCAATATGGTCAGATGGTAACAGACAATGATATAAAATGCCATAACCATATGTTCGATAAAACTAAAACAAATATCTATTTTTAACAAGTTTCAAGAACTGTGCAATGGAAACATATTGGGTAGTTACCTTAATCTCTATCTTCATTGTATGTGCTAGAAAATGATTGAAACTCCAAGGGGGGTACAGAGATTGCACATTGGATACATTTCGGATATAGTAATGTATATAGTCATTGATTCCAATTGAAACATAAAATATTGAGTTTGACATGAGTTCAGTTGCGGCATCCTCGCCCATGCTCAGTACAAACTGCTGAAAGGTATCCATAACCTGCTGAACTTGCTGCGAAAGAGAGATGTGTTGACCCTGCAGAGTATCACAACAACAATCACTAGTCTTCTGTGAAAATAGTGTAAAACATTTCTTTAATGATCACTGTTTGCTGAATTCCAACATTCAACAATGCCTTAAAAGCTTACATAGAGGGTATCCAATTTCACTTGTGCTCTACTTAATTGTCGATAAACAAGAGGTAATTAAATAAATGAAACATTGGCCAAACAAAGGGAGATTGAACAATAAAAATTAGCAAAACATTAATCACAACAATATGGTCTTATTTCAAGAGAACAGCCAAAGAACCCTGTCTTCAAAAGTAGTTATCTTTTGACCATGAATTGTCCAATTCGGAGTAGAGATATCATTAACTGGTAATTCTAACCAGAGCCACACAGTAGAGATGTACTACTAACTGTTAAATAGCTAAAGCCATTGTTTACTCACAGATAATACTACAAAAATCAATGTTGAATTTATGTTTACATATTGAGTGCATACATGATTAACACAGTTTGTGGGAAACCTACCAATTCTGATCCGCTTGATAAAATGATTCCAGCACCAGCAGAGGCATAATTCACTCCATGAATCATATCTTCAACTGTACCAGTCTGGCCGAGATAGCTCGGTACAAATGGAAGCCCAAGATGTAGTGCTGATCAAAATAATCAAATTGTAAAAACATAACTCTAAAAACATCTTGCTAAAACATCAACTTGCATCAAACAGAAGACCCAAAAAAGAAAACATAAATTCATAAATTAGTCCAAGAATTATCACCCCAAGAAACAAAATTAAAGCTTGTTTCAGTGTCAATTATGACAATTTTTTCAATTTCAAACCACCCGTTTGGTCGCTGAGAAAAATGTAGGAAAAATTACAAAACCCTATTAAAACTAAAACCTTTACTCAACTGATAATCCCAAGAAACAAAATCAAAACTTGTTTCAGTGTCAATTATGACAATTTTTTCAATTTCAAACCACCTGTTTGGTGGCTGAGAAAAATGCAGGAAAAATTACAAACCCCATTAAAACTAAAACCTTTACTCAACTGATAATCCCAAGAAACAAAATCAAAACTTGTTTCAGTGTCAATTATGACAATTTTTTAAATTTCAAACCACCCGTTTGGTGGCAGTGAAAAATGCAGGAGAAATTACAAACCCTATTGGAACTAAAACCTTTACTCAAACTGATAATAACACCACCATTGTTCTAGTTACTTTTTACATTTCTCAGACAACAATACAAGAAGAACTAAAATACCCAAGATGCATTTTCTTTCAATTTCGTCCGTTTTCTCAGAAACCAAACAGAAGACCAAGAAAGTGATTATTACCAAGATAATCAACGGGGATTCTGCCATTACAGAAACGTCCAGTAGGCTGATGGGTGTCGAAATCTCGTCCGTAGGGAAGACGATCGGCACGAGCAAACGTCCCGAGGAAATTGTTGGTGCCGCAGTCCACAGAAGAGTCTCCAATGACGAACAAGGCAGGAACCAGAAGAGCAGAAGTTCGGATTGGAGATGGAACGGGGCTTCTTGATTCAGGGCGAGAAATTGTTGGGCTAAGGACATTGATGAAGTTGGGTTGGAGGTCATCGACGAGTTCTCGATGATATTGCAGAGCTCTTGTTTGAAGAAACATCGAGATGAGAACGAAGAGGACGAAAATTGAAGAAGAATCCATTTGACATGTTGAGAGAGAAAGAAAGAGAGAAAGGGGGTGTTTGAGGAATGTGAATCGGCGGGCTAAGGGTTAAGCAAAGACTCGAAAATGCCCTTGTTGAAGTATATTGTATAATAGTCTAATAGATAGACAAATTTGTATGTTTAGGTCTGGGCCTAAGGTTTAGGTATGCAGGCTGCCCAACACACTAGGCCCCTGAGAGGTGGTCTAGGCCCATCGCATGAGCCCACAAATTTTATTTTATTTTATTTTTATATGATTTACAACTAAAATATATACATTATATACTCATAATGTGGCTGCACTTAATCTACGCCCTTATGCTTTAAGAAAGGAAAATTAAAAAATTGGGGTGCCTCACAGTGTAAGGGTCGACGGGCCGCCATAACAGCTGAGAGTTTGTGAGACACACGACTAGTTCGATGTTATATTTTTTATCATTGTTAGGAGTACACACGGTTTGGACCGATTTAAAAGTTTTTTTGGAACTAAACTAATTATAACGGATTTATAAAATTTGGGACCAAACCTAACCATTTGACCAAAGAAACCGAGCGAAACCAAATCGTGAAAAACCGATTTGGTTCGATTCGATTCCACTGTTCCTTTTTTTTTTTTTTCCTTCTTCTTTATTGTTACATAAGTATTCATATTATCCACATACACAACAATAAACCAAGTTACTAACACATTCAGAACTATTAACATATTAAGAAGTTTTAATTCATTCTTCTCTATCACTTTTGGAACGGAAGTAAATAAATTCACAATTTGTAATAACTTAATAAATTTAGAATTATTAATTCATCAACAAAAAATCAGTCACAATTCAATTCAGCGATAATTAAGAGTGGACCATATGATTGATAATTGCTACAAATTTCTAAGTGATTTGGATTGTAGGATTATATTATGTTATATATACTCTATAATTTAACATATATATATATATATATATATATATATATATATATATATATGTTTTGGTTCGGTCTGATTTGGTCCTAAAGAACCTTAAATCGTGATCAAATCGTATTTTTTCAATTTCACAAATTTAGAATCGTGATCGAATCAAACTATTAGCAAACTAAACCAATTTGTCCCGTCCAATTTAGTCTGATTTAAATTTTCGATTTGATGGAATTTTTGTGCACCCTATCACTTCCCTACTTGTTGCATTTTAGATTTTTTGTCAATTTGGATAGGCAAGTTTTTTTTAGCCCATTTTGTGCTAGTTAGATTTGCAACCCTCACTAATAAAAAGAGTGAAATATGGGGTGTAGGGTCTATAGCCACATGCAGAAACATGATATTAGGTATATAGTAGTGCTATGTCCCATAAAGCATTTTATCATCTACAAGCAAATAGTGGTATACAAGCTTGAATTAATTTATATATTGTAGGATATAACATGACCTTCATAATAATGCAACCACTAAAAGAGATTAGCAAAAGACACATGTGTGACCCTTTTCATGCTATAATGAGTCATAATGCGGTTTACTATGAAGTATGGCGACATAAAATTCTTTATGTATTATATTATTTATATTATTATATAATAATATTCTTTATGTATTAATAAAGCCACTCTCTTTACATTGGAGGAATTAATGCTTGGTTCCGTGTATCCACCAAAAAACTTTACTTTTTTTGAGGAACCTTCCTTGTGAGTTTCAGCACTCTCCACTTGTTAATTGAAAGGAGACAAAGCTCGTGGACACAATATTAGGTTAATCATATTTGCTCCATAAACACTCCTCATGATCTATTTTTAATAATGATCTCTCACATGTCTATTATACTTTTTTTTACTTATTTTTAAATTTATATTATCTTTCACAACTCACGAAATATTCATTTTTAAGATAATTAAAACTAGTTAAAAGAATATTTCTAAAAATAAATTGAAAGTGTTGAAGAGACCATCTGACTTTATATCTCAAATCGTATAAATTGACCGTTTTTAAATACAAGTTTTTAGCGGTCTAAGATTTATATTTTTGATAAGAGAGGGAGAGTTTTAAAGTTATTCTTTTGAGACATAACTAAGCAGCATGAGCATTCGAGTAATTTTTTGGATTTGTAATGTGGATTCAAAACCCTTTTCTGGTGCAACGGCAATGAAAACGGTGCTTGTACCCGTATCCAAGACAATCATAAAAAAGAGGGAAGAAATGAGTGTGGTTCTAGGAAGATGAGAAGCTAATTTAATATTAATCATGTTTTAATTAATAACTTTAGTTTAATGGGATTACATTTTTAATTTGGTTCACTATGCTTCCTACTAAGTCCCTTAGCTTAATTAAGTATACAAAAAGAAGAGACATCATGTTAAGTGCATGCACAATGTATGTGTAGCAAATACTAAAGGTTCAATTCTTTGAAATTTGTCTGGAGAATTAAAAAAAAAAAAAGGGGGGGGGGCGGTCATGGTAAGATAGTAATTAAAGGCTAACTAACCTTGGTATATTTCTTAGAAACAGAAAAAGAAATATAAGGTTCCTAATATAGTAATTTTACAATATGGGGCAGATTCAGATGCATCTAACTGTAAAATAAGATAGGGTTATCCAAAGTTAAATGTTTAAAATTAGATCAAATAAAAAGTTAAAATTGAAAGGTAAAAATTAGATAATTTTACCGGAAGGAAAATATCAAACCACACTAATCAAGTCTTATCTTAGTTGCTTAATATAAGCAATGTGATTTATCTGGATGGTGTACACGTGGACTTGCATCTCATTTCTCTAGATAGAATAACTTGATAAATACGATGTAATGTAACCGTTGTCATTTTTTAAATCGGGTCTAATTCTACCGTTGTGGAGTGTTTGGTTCTATAACTAACTTTTAAATATTTGGGTTTATTTCTATTTTTACTTTGGAATTGGGTCTAATAAAAGGGGCTAAAATCTAAAACCCCCCTTTTATTTATCGAAACTATCTACTAACCCCCTTGAGTATTAAAAAACTCCCTGATATAACAGAAACTATCACATTGCCCCCACTCCGTCACAGAACCGTTAAGTTACTGTGAAATGACAAAAATACCTTTAATATTATTTTAAAATGAAAATGTGAATTTTGAATTGGCAAATATGCCCCCGTGTGAAACGATGTAGTATTGTGTTGTTTTTGCCTCTTTGTGAAACGACGTCGTGTGGGGGTTGGGTTATATGCCCTAAATCGATTTTTATGCCTCCATCTATGTTCTGTGTTTGTGTATGCGCCGAGTGTTGAAGAAAGCAAGTGTGAAGTCTTGATGAAAGCGACTGTTGATGAAATCGATTGTCTGAGTGTTGATGAAATCCAGTGTCTGAGTATTGATGAAAGCGAGTGTCGCGTGTTTATGAAAGCGAGTGTTATGTGTATCTTTTTTCTGCAATCGCTCAGTGATCGAAGATCTTGGTGGATTCCAACCGGTTCGTATCACTTTTGTTGGACATAATGGTGCTAGGTATGGACGAACTTTTACCTATTGTTGTTGCTTTGTAGTTAGGGTTTTATATTATTTCCTTTTCAATGTGGGTTCTTAATGTTTGGTAGGTATAATTCAATGTCTGGGGACAAACTTTTACTAATGTCGTTGCTTTGTCGTTGCTTTGTAATAAAAATTATGATTTGTTTATAAGGCTGTGGTCCCAGTGATAATAAATTAGGGTTTGGTTATTGTTCAAATATTTTTTTCATAATTTAGGGTTTAGGGATTTATTGTTAAAATTAGTAGTAAATGCTATATTTTTTTGGTTTGTAGTACTTAGGGTTTTATAATATTTCCTTTTCAATGTAGGTCTTTATTGTTGGGTGGGAGTATTGATATTAGGGTTTAATGATTTTGTAATAAAAATTAGGGTTTCAATGTGGTCCCAGTAATCATTAAATTAAGTAATATAGGGCAGTGGTCCCAGTGATCTTTGACAATACTTGTTTAAAATTACTGCAACTGTGTCAGAATTGTTTTTTTAGTTATCTTATGTTTGGTATTGTTTTGTTGAAATTTATTGTTTTACGTTTTAATCCTACTTTTCAAAAGTTATACACACTAGAAATGCATTATGGTGGTCAGTTTGGTAGTACAGAATTAAGTCCATATTTTGATGGGTTTGTTGAGATATATGAGGGTATAGACAGTGATCTCATGTCAATGATAGAACTTACATACATGATAGGTCTGTTTGGTTATCCTACTACAACAAGTAAAGTATTCTACAGGTCTTACATTGATGGGAGTTTAAAAGAGTTGAAAACTGACAGGGATGTCATTGACATGTTCGAACACAACCAAAGGTTCTCCCTAATTAAAATATATGTGGTGTCAATTACTGAAGAAGGAAATGCAGAAGGTGAGAATAATGGAGATAGATCAGTAGAGATGCTTGCAATAGCAACTGATGATGACAGTCATTTTGATGTGCCTGAAATTGAAGATGAAGATGAAGATGACAGTGATTTTGATCTGCCTGAAAGTGAAGATGACAGTAATGTTGATAGAAATGGAAATGAAATTGAGGATGAGGATGTGAATGGTAATGATATTGAAGATGTGAATGATGAATATTATAATGACAATATTTTGTTGAACTTTTATGATGAAACTTTTATGATATATGAGGAGGTTGATGATGTAAGAAATAATGAAGATGCAACTAAGGTATATGAGGTTATAAATGATGAAGAACCTGAGATTGAATCTGATAAAGATGCTGACAGTGATCAAGCTTCTGAATATGTACCAAGTGATGAGTTGATGAGTTTGGTATACTCAAGTGGTGAATAATGTGAGGATGATGCCATAAGTGGCCCATCTTATCCAAATTTCAATGTTCATACAGACTTGGGGAAAAAAAAAAAACTTGAAATAGGCATAAAGTTTAGTTCTCCAGCAGAATTTAGAGAAGCAGTAAGAGATACAGCTATAAAAAGCAAGTTTGACCTATCATTTGTGAAGAATGATGGAGATAGAATCACAGTGGTATGCAAGGCTAAATGTTGGTGGAGGATTCATGCCTCTGAAAATAGTGAAGATAAATCATTCCAAATAAAGACATTCAATGATACTCACAATTGTACTGGTGTAAGACACAACAGTCAGCTGACATATAGTTATTTAGCAAAACATTATACTGAAAAGATTATGGCTGATCCAAATTGCTCATGAAAGGTTTTGTGCAGACAGTTAAAAGTGAATTTAATGTTGATATGACAAAACAAAAGGTGGCTAGAGCAAAGAAGTTGGTTTTACTAATGATTGAAGGTGATTATTCAAAGCAATTTGGAAGAGCTGGGGACTACTGTGCCTTAATCCTGGAAACAAATCCTAGAAGTGTTGTTAATGTAAGAACAATACAATATAGTGATGATGGTACTTCATTCTATAGGTTGTTCTATTCCCTAGAGGCTATGTGGAAAGGATGTTTAGAAGATTGTAGACCATTTATTGGTCTAAATGGATGTTTCTTGAAAGGACCCTATGGAGACACTTATTGTGTACTGTTGGTAGGGATGGTAACAATGGCTTTTACCCAATTGCAATTGGTTGTGTTGATACAGAATGTAAGGACTCTTGGGAATGGTTCTTAGATGAATTGATGGCTTTAGTTGGCAATTATCAGAAGTACACATTTATCTCAGATCGACAGAAGGTGTACATGTTTATCTTTTAATATATATGGTCATTTATTATCTTACTGTAATGTTTTACATAAATATAATATTTTGTTATCTTATTTTCAAGGTCTTCTTAAAGTATTTGAGCATAAATATCCTGGAGCATATATTAGGTTCTGTATTAAACACATGTGTGATAATTTCAGTCAGAAATACAAAGGCAGAATACTAAGGAACATATTCTGGAATGCATCCACAGCATACACAGAATCTGATTTTGTGCTACATATGCAAGAGATAAAGGCAATTAACAAGGATGCACATAACTGGTTAATGAAGATTCCCTTAAAGGTTTGGCCAAGGTCAGCATACACTACAAAGATTATGAATAACCATTGTGTAAATAACATGTGTGAGTCATTCAACAGCTACATTGGGAAGGCAAGGGAAAAGCCTTTAATTTACATGTTTGAGAAGATTAGAAAACAACTGATGCTAAGGTATCAAAGCAATAGAGAGATGATGGATAAGGTTAAGTGACTATTGTGTCCAAAAATTAAAGAGAAATTAGATAAAATTTTTAAAGATGTCAGAAGACTACATGTGAGTTATGCAGGGAATGACAAGTATGAGGTGGAAAACATGACATGGAATGAAGTTGGGGTTAGTGATTATGTGAATCTTGCTACAAGAACTTATTTATGCTATATATTTAGCATACCTTGCAAACATACAGTGGCATCAAATTTAGATAGGAGGTTTGATCCAGAGCTATTTATTCACCATTCTTACTATAGAGAGACATACTTGAAGTCTTATAGATATGTCATAACTCTAGTGTTTTTAAGGAATCTGAAAAGAGAAGTTAGCACTGCTCCAATATTGCCACCACATCATAGGACTAGACCTGGAAGACCTAAAAAGATCAGGAAAAGAGGTCCAGATGAGATTAAGTCAAAAGGTCCAGTGGTGAAGAGGTCAAAAATAAGATGCACTAAATGTCTTGTCTTATGTCATTATGTAAGGATTTGTAAAGCACTTGAGAAATCTACAAGATAACCAAAAGGTAAAGGTGAAAGACCAAGAATAGTAAGAGGCACAGGTGGTGTAGGTGGTAGTAGAAATGAAACTGTTGCTGGTAGGAGTGTGAGGAATTATATTACAGAAGGTGGGAGATCTGCTAATAGAGGTGGTGGTAGAAGTGGTGGGAAAGCTAACAGAGTTGCTACTAGGGATGGTGGTGGTGTTCACATAGGTGGTGATGTTCACACAGGTGGTGGCGGCAGACCTGCAAGAGATGGTAGCAGTGGTAGCACAAATACTAGAGCTGGTGGCGGTGATGACATAGCTGGTAGAGGTGTTGGCAGTGGTGGCATAGTTGGTAGAGGTGTTGGCAGTGGTGTCATAGCTAGTAGAGGTGGTAGTAGTGGTGGCAGTGCTGCTAGGGGTGGTAACAATGGTGGAAGAGCTGGTAACAAACCTATTGTACTTCATTCAGAGGTAAAAATTATATTTTTTTATTTTATATTTATTATACATTATAAACACATGTAGGTTGACATTTATTGCTTTATTTAATAGCCATTAACGTCCACCCAACATTATGGTCTTGGTCCTGGTCTTGGTGGAAAAGTTATTATTGGTTATTCAGAGGTATTATTATTCAACCTCTTATTATTTTATTTTACTTTATATTAAATAAAACTGAACTAACACATACTTTTCATCCATTGAATAGGCATCAACATCCACCTAATATGAAGTGGTTCATATCGACTTTCCATCCACACTTAACACACAAGAATGATGGCATGTTAATGAAAGTGGTAGCAGCTTTTTTGGAGGACAAATTGAAGAAATGGTTGACTACATATTAATATTTTCTTATGTTTTTAATGTAAAACTAATGACAGTGGTGGGTTTATTTTGGACAGTGGTGGGTATTTTGTACTAATTGTGTAATGTGGATGGTTAATTGTGGATAGTGAATGTATTGGTTTATTTAACAATGGTGGGTTTATTTTGGACTGTGAATGTGTTAGTTTATTTGACAATGCATGGCAATGTAATGACAGTGGCTGTTTTTAATGTATGGCTATTTTGGACAGTGAATGTGTTGGCTTATTTGACAATGTATAGCAATGTAATGACGGTGAATGTTTTTAATGTATGTTTATTTTGGATAATGAAGTTGTTGGTTTGAATATATGTATGCAACTTTACCTTGATTTTGTTCATATAATTCGAAACACAAGACTCAACACTTATAATTCTACAATTTAACTTCAACATATGCTTTCACTCATGCACTTAACAATTCAGAAAGTACATTGCATACACACTTCATACGGCTTCAAAATATATTTTGCATACACAGCCTCATATTAAAACCAACTGACTACTTTCTTTCTAAATCTATCATACATACAACAACGCAGAATATAACAAATATTACAACTAATTGCTTCATAATTTTTTGGATTTCTTCCATACTTTTTCTCATTGCTTCCAAACGGGAACTAACTATATCATACCGGAACTTTAATTCTGCAATTTCACTAAACTTGCTTTCATCTGCTTCAGTATATGCTGGCATTGTACAAATCGGATCACACCATGCCCATAAAGAGCATTTTTTTGTACCACAAGAATAGTATATCCTCCCTTTGTTATTATACTCATTTGAACCTGTAACTCTCACTACAGCTGGATAGCCACAACCACATATTATGTTGTTATACCTGAGATCTTACCAATTAACAGATTGTATGGTCGAAGAAGACATTTGGGTTCCCTAATTGCAGTTTAGGGCTTCTAATAGGGCACACGGTGGCTGCAATTTTGGGCTTTAAATAATCAATTGGGGACTTCAATACATCGATTAGGGCTTCAAATCATCAATTGGAAAATTTAATAGATCAATTAGGGCTTATGATACTGCTACTATAGAGAATCCTTAAACCACTTCAATCACAGACAAGAACAAGAGAAGACAAGAGGGAAGAGAGAATAGAGAAGAGAGAAGAAGGCACTTAACGAAGAGATAAGAGAGAAGACGGCAGTTAACGAAGAGAGAAGCGATAGCAACGAACGAGAGAAGAGATCTTCTATGGTGGCAATCCTCACTAATTAGTGCAACGATAGAGAAGAAAAGAGATAACAAACCTTAAACAATGCATAACCGAGGGGGTAGGGTTAGATAACAAACCTGAAGGGTTTTTTTGTCATTTCTATACAACAAGGGTACTTTCGTCATTATATTAGGGTATCTGGTGCACGTGACGCTCACGTAATAAGAAGATGTTAGTTTTAGACGGTTAACTAACGGGGAATGGGTCATATGATATATTTTAAAATACGTTGAGGGGTTTTATGGTAGTTTCCGTACTTAAGGGGGTTAGTAGATATATTTTGAAAACAAGAGGGGGGTTTTTATAATTTAGCCCAAAAAAAAACTAACACTTATACAATTAAATCAATGTTTATCTCAAATACTGGAAGAATATGTTGTACTTAAAAGTTAAACTTCAATAAATTTTAAATGTTGTACTCAATACTGAAAATTTAATTTTAAATATATATATATATATATATATATATATATAAAAGCTCAACTTTCAACAAATTTAATACTTAATTTTAAATTTATCAAACACCACTTGACTAGTTAAATTTGTGGAGTGAGTGTACATATGAATTTAAGAAACAAAAAATTTCGACCCTATTTGATTTGTAATTCTAAGAACAGTTTTGTGAACAAAAACTGAAAACACAAACTTATACAAAGAATTTCTATTTGTTTGGTTCTGTTTTCTGAAAACTCAGTTATAAAAATTTCTGTTTTCTGTTCTATAAATTCTTGATAACTATTTTCAGAATTACAAACTATACAAGCCCGAAAAAATGCTAACTATCTCAACTATTAATTAATAACTAGCTAAAATGTGATGTTGCTAACTTATAAGAGAGAAATTAGAAGTGTGTTAATCAATGAGAAAATAAGAAAAAAGAAGTAGACTTAGATGGTAAGTGAACTTATTCGGTCCGTTTATATAAAAAAAAAGATGACCTAAACAATAAGATGACCTAACTAATGGTGTCATTATTTCTGTCGAACTAGGAGCAAAGCATCCTAATTTTTCCAATACAACGGCCTCAGAGGTTCTCTTTTCTATGCCAATTTTAGGATACCTTTTTTTAAAGCTGATAAAACACTTCTGCACATTTCGTTCTTTTTTAAAGTTGGTGCAAGTCATTCATTTAAAACGTAGGGGTAGTTTCGTAATTTTACTTACTTGAAGCCTAGACTAGAACTTTGCCCGTTAAATTATTGGGGTCAAAGCATTTACAAAGCCAACGGCTATAATTCCGCTCTCACTGTCACACACACACACACTCTCTGAGTCACTCTTTTATCGACATTTTTACCGGAACTCTGAAAAATCGGCGAACAGGTCGGAACCCTTTGAAGCTTATCGACATAAGCTGATGCTAATCTAGGAATATTGCAATTCATCGCCAATTAATCGCCATCTCTGCAACATCCCATTCTTCCCATTAAAGCTCACCTTCTTTGCCCCATTCCATTTTGATTCTTTCCGTTGGCAAAGAATCCACGCTCTCTCTCTCTCTCTCCATCTCTCTCCACAACCACAACCCCCCATCATTCTTCTCACAGATCGCTGTTATGTTGCAAAGTCTCAAACCCTAATTGCACAGCGCATTTTAGGGGTTTGAATTTCAAGTTCAATTTCAATTTCAATTTCAGTCCTTTGTTGGAGCGATAAAGCTTTGGTATTTTCAGCTTCTTGATCTTCAAAACCTCTGTATCTGGAGGTTCTTGGCAATTCAGCATACGAAACTTCAAGGTTTGCAATTTGGTTTCTGAGGAAGAACGTTGAATCTTTTAGGGTTTGGAGCTTTGAATTCCTTCTGGGTGCTTTTAGTTTTGTTTTTTCCCATTTTATCTTGTGTAGGTCGGTTATTTTTTTCTTCTTTTCATTTCTGGGAATCTATCTATTTGGATTAGAACTAGAGTCTTTTGATCATTAGGAGATCCAACTCCAATTTGATTGAGAGGCCTTGTTCGATTGGATTTATGGGTTGTTATAGGTTCCAAAATTTGTAAATTTTCAATTAGGCAAAATAGAAAGAAAAAAAAATAGAATAACAAAAAAAGGGTCCTGTGTTTCTTGAGGGAGCTACAAGAGCATACAATGTCTGTTGCTGATGTTGCTTTGAGCCCGATCTGCGAAGAGTATTTAAGGCCACCTGGTTATTTACATAGCCAGTTTGGTCTTTGCTCTAGTGAATCAATTGTCATTTACCTCACTGTCGACGATTCTGTGATTCCCATGAGAGTTTTGGAGTCCGATTCGATTGCGTCAGTGAAGCTTAGGATCCAAACATGTAAGGGAGTTGTAGTGAAGAGACAGAAGCTAGTTTTCGGAGGCAGAGAGTTGGCACGGAACAACTGTCTTGTCAAGGACTACGGTGTCACTGACGGGAACGTTCTGCATTTGGTTCTCCGGCTTTCCGATCTCCTTGTTATCACTGTTAGCACCACCTGTGGGAAGGAATTCGAGTTTCATGTTGATCGCCATCGAAATGTTGGGTATCTCAAGCAACGAATTGCCAAGAAAGGGAAAGGCTTTGCTGATCTTGAGGATCAGGAATTGTTATGTAATGGCGAGAAGCTCGAAGACCAGAGACTTATTGAGGATATATGTAAGAATACCGATGCTGTTATTCATTTGGTAGTTCAGAAATCTGCAAAAGTTCGAGCCAAGCCTGTTGAGAAAGATGTTGAACTCTCCATTGTGGCAGCAAATTGGGATGAGAGCAAAGATGGATTGCCAGAAGGAGAGAATCACCACCACACCAAGGAGCTTCAAGTTGCTTCTAGGAAGCCACCAAATAGGGATTTCTTGTTAGAACCGGTTTTTGTTAATCCGAATATCAAATTGCCTTCAGTTTTGAGGGATATGATTAATTCTACATTTGATGGATTGGAGAGAGGGAAACCACCAATCAGGTCGTCAGAAGGTACAGGAGGTACTTATTTCATGCAAGATGGGTTGGGCAACAGATACGTTGCCGTTTTCAAGCCCATTGATGAGGAACCGATGGCTGTGAATAACCCTCAGGGGCTACCTTTATCATCAAATGGTGAAGGGCTTAAGAGGGGAACAAGAGTAGGAGAAGGTGCATTGAGGGAAGTTGCAGCATACATACTGGATCATCCAAGGAATGGACCTCGCTTAATATCAAATGGGGATACTGGTTTCGCTGGCGTACCCCCCACGGTTATGGTCCAGTGCTTGCACAGAGGATTCAATCATCCAGATGGTTATGAATGCTCATCAGAGCACGTTAAGATTGGATCATTGCAAATGTTCATGAAGAATTTTGGATGTTGCGAGGACATGGGTCCTCGTGATTTCCCTGTGGAAGAGGTTCATAAGATCAGTGTGTTTGATATAAGAATGGCAAATGCAGACAGGCATGCTGGGAATATTCTGGCGAGCAAAGAGGGAGAGGATGGACGAATAGTGCTTATTCCAATTGATCATGGCTACTGCTTGCCTGAGAAGGTACGATTCGTCCTTTGCTTTGCCATATTAGATGTTTTTTTCTGTGCCATTGTGTTTTCATGAGAGTGCATTTGATTTATCTTATATGTCTCTGAGAGTGGTGCAATTCAATTTAGCTTATCTTACTGAGTAATAATTTAGAGAAAAGGGAACTAATTTTAAATTTTTTTTCCCGATTTACTCATGAAATTCAATCAACATAACTGTTTTTCCCCATTCTTGGACTCAAATGAACCCGATTTATAATATAACAATTTATGTTGTTTTCTGTTTAGAATTTAGACAAAACATGCTAGCCAGGATAGACAGATAGATAGAGAGAGAGAGAGAGACAGAGACAGAGAAGTGCACTTTGCAGATTATATGTTTTGATATAGTAGTTTGTGTAACTTTTTTTAGGAGTCTTTTAAGATCAATTTGCTCTTATGTTCTTAACTATGGACTTGACTTTTAGCCCTCTCTTTACAGTTTGAAGATTGCACATTTGATTGGCTTTATTGGCCGCAAGCTCGCCACCCTTTCTCCCAGGACACCATTGACTACATAAAATCGCTGGATGCCGAGCAAGACATTACACTTCTGAAGTTCTACGGATGGGACCTCTCCCTGGAGTGTGCTCGTACACTCTGCATCTCCACCATGCTTCTGAAGAAAGGGGTAGAGAGAGGACTCACTCCCTTTGACATTGGAAGTATCATGTGTAGAGAAACCATAACCAAGGAGTCTGTGATTGAGGAGATTGTTCGTGAAGCCCAGGATTCCATACTCCCTGGCATGAGCGAAACCGCATTTCTTAGTGCAGTCTCCGAAATCATGGATTTCCACCTCGACAATCTCATGAAATAATTTTCATGGGATTTATAGTATATATTTGTATGTATAGATTGAATGAGACCACTCCATTGGTATGGATTGGATGTTTTAAGTAATGTGGATGGCTAGTAACGTGGGTGGCTTCCTTTGTTCTCGGTGGTGAGCCTGAAACTTTTATTTCCTTTCACTTCTGTTCTTTCTTTACTATTCGATGGAGACATGAACAGAAGTTAAAATCACGAATAAGAAGCTTATGTTGGTACTTTATGGTTTGCAAAACTGTCTAATGTACTGCTGAGATTGAACTGGAGTGTAAAGATCTTGTATAATGTTTCTGTCAATTTCAGATTGGACAAATAATATAGTACGTGCAAAATATTATGTATATATTGGGATTGCCTCGTGTAAATCCTTGAATTTGTTTTTTCTTTTTTCGGAAATTAAGTCCTTGTATTTGTCTCCCAGTTCATTGATGTGATTTGACAAACCCAAACAACCAGTATGGGGCTTTTTATGTATTTATTAGCATGCATAGATTGAATGATGCATTTTACAATGCAATACAGAGTGGTTTCTCTCTCCTCCGTTTGTAATCTTTTTCCCTTCAGCTGCTACCTTGTATTGTATTGAGAGGTCAAACATACATATGATCTTGATTAATGTATGTGATCTTCTAAATTTCTTAGATTGCAGGACTATGGTAATGCAGACACTGAACAGATGCTTATAGTCGTGGACGTTATGTTATGTTTGTTTTCTGGTTTAGGGTTTTTACTTCTACTTTTTATTTATTTTATAAATTAAAATTTATCAAGATAATGTTGAGAGTCTCGAGACACAAACCACTACTCTCTGGACATGGCATACAGAATGGACTCTGCAATTGTGCATTTTGAGTACAGTACTGATAGCAATAATACATGTTGAGCACAAATCTATTAGAGAGACATATGCTTCTCTTAGCTTCTTAGAGAGATGTTTATCTTGGCTTCTCAGGAAAATAATCTTATAGCTGCAAAGATATATGTTTCTCTTAGCTTCTCAGAGGCTGCCAAACTGAAGGGCTCACTCCTCTCTCTCATTTTCTTTCCTACATAGCTGTATGTATACATGTATATATGTGTGTGTGTGGGGTATTGAATCCATTATATTTTCACTGGTGTGGTTTGATGGAGCAACTGTGTGGTGATAGTTTTTAATTTAATAAAATTTAAATTTAATCAAGACTGACATTTACAAGAACACACCATGGCCAGAGGCTACTCATTCCCAAACACATTCACTTAAAACACCACTACCTTGACAAGAACAAGCAAGTAAAGAGCTTTCTCTGAGAATTTTGATTCTGATCAACGCCCATGAAGAGGAGAGGAGATCAATTTTAATGGAGAAAGTGGGGTTACGAAATTTCAGTTGGGAGTTTTTGTTTAGGATTGGCTCCGTCGGCCTGTAACATAACTTTTGAAAAATTGATGAGTAAGTTAGTTTTGTTAAATTTTAATATTTTTTTTTGTAAATATTTACAGACAATCAAACACTAAAAAATAAAAAATAAAATATTTTACATCCAAACAAACAAATAGAGCCTAAAAGGATTTAATATGATCTAGCTGCACTAAGTGCATAAAAATTTGTATCTAAATGAATAACAACCTTGAAAGGGGATACGTATCTAAATGAATAACAAGAGATAATCTCCTTGAATAAGTGCATAAAAATTTGCAGGGCTTACATAAACTGATTGACGATACATATAGACAATAAAACTAGGCCCCATTACCCATTGCAAGGAAAACCACAAAGCAAATCTCCAATGCCGCAAAATATGCAAATAAGAAAGAAAGAAAGAATCACCACATTACCAATAGGGCTGTGGCCTAGCGGTACAAGGCTCCTACTTCTCGAAGGGAGGTTAGGAGTTCTAACCACAGTGGAGGCAGTGTGTGTGAGTTTCCCAACTAGGAAACAAAAAAAAAAAAAAAAAAAAAAATCACCACATTTGTCAAACACATTATCTGTACTTGTAAAGCATGGACTTCAACTGCAGATCAGGTTTCCACCACTGGTGAATTCCATGGGCTTCAAAGAATTCTGCCGGAGTTAAATTAAGCGTTAGATTTGCTGATGGTAAGAGGTGCAGTGCCTCTTCAGACTCCTTCCCAATTGCATTCATAAATAGACCTCCAATTGAATGCTGGGTTGCCAACCTCTCGATAGTTCCCGCTCCAATCTCCTCCATCTTTTTCCTGTGTTCAAAATACCCTATATATTCTGAGCAGATGTGATCATCGGGATGCACAAATAGACCTGGTGTCCATGCAGACAAAGCAACGAAGGTATCTACTGAGCGATTGTTTTGTTGCTGATTGTTTTGTTGCTTAACCTTCATAGCGAAAGCAAATCCTGCAGTGATCACACTACTTGCAATTCGGATCCCATGTTTCACTTTCACATTCTTGATTCTCTCTATCGGAGCAGAAACGAATGGTGGATTAAAGAGAAAAGCTTCAAGAAAAGCACCCGTCTTGGCCATGGTCTTTCCAGCAAGCATTGCCATGGCTGACCCCAGGGAATGACCAGCTAACCAGATATTCAAATTTCCATATGTTGCAACCATGTTCCGGACAGCTTGAATGGCAATCTCAAAGCGAGACGTCTGGTGAAGTCCGTTTCGGATGAAGTGGAGGTCCAATTCAACATCTCGTGAAAAAGCATTTCCTTTGGTTATGGTGCCTCGAAATGCGATTATATAATGCGGATTTCCATTTGTCAAGTCTTTGCAGTTGGATGCTGCAGGTTTGAATTCATAAATGGCACCAAATATGGAGAAATCAGCATCATCCACTAACTGACGACATAATTGAAAATCAAAGAACTCCCACCAAGGAGGAGCAAGAGCTTGGGGTCCTTGCCTTTTCTCCTGGCGGTCCCGCTCTAGAATATAGACACCCTGAACCAAACTGGCAGCAACAGACCTTCGGTGATCCACATTTTTCCTGCATAAGGTAGCATAAAATTCTCTTCTTTTATTTTCTTGTTACTGTGATGTAAAGCACAAAGCATCCTAGGACATATTTTTCGAGCAACTCTAGCAGAACTAATGTTCAGTTTTTGGTTAATAGATCATATTTCGCATGTACATGCATTTTTGAATCCTGAATGCAGTCTATATATTTATCAATGAGCTTGAATTTGTTTGTGCAAGCTTTGATGGAAAGAAGCACAGGAAAAATAACACCAATACTCAAGTCAAAACATAATGCCCACATCGTAAACAATACTGGTTTTAAACAAGTGCACAAACAGGTGTGAAGTGTGAGACAGTCTAACAATCAATTAGGCAAAATATCCGACGTATCAACGAGAATTTCAAAGTAACAACTCATGCCAAATTCTAAACACAAAATTGAAAATACTACCCTCTTGTATAAGTTCAACATTTTAGGATTATAATTGGCACACTCCCAAAGACCATCTCTGGAAAAGTTCAAACTTCCTTCAGCCTCATAAATCCATAATGATGTTGGCAAAAAGGTCTAAACGGTTGAACTTGTCTCTGTACATGAATATACTGTGAAAGTTTTAAGCATACTCATTTGGATAGCTACAGTGATACATTCTGTCCATTAAGTGCTCAGACGTGTGTTTCAACGAATTCATCTTGGTGTACTGAGCTAAAGTTCAATTGGGCTATCAAATGAATTTATCAAAAAAAATGAAAAAGGTCTTACCAGTCAACATTACTTAGATGTAAGGGTCCTGAAAGGTCGAAATATTCCCTCTCTGAGGCCATCACACCTTACGTTCTTCTAACTTTTTCCTCTTTGTATCAGCTAAGGTTGTTCTGCATGCAACAGGGAAAAATCAGTAAGCAGTTAGTCAATCTATATATATAGACACACACACACACACACATATATCCAGCATTAACATAGAATCAGTAAGTAGGACAACAATCAAAGCCGAGTCGAGCATCTAGCTATCTGAGCTTGACTCAATCAACCAAACAACCGTTTGAGTTTGCGCTGAAGTACAGACCACATATTTGTGTTCAACGTCGGCTTGAACAACACTCACCAAGCTCAAGTTCAGCTAGTTTGGTGTGTCTAGCTCAAGTTCAGCTATTTGTGTTCTAGCTCGAGCTTGAGATCAACATTGAAAAGAAGAAAAAATGGTTAAAAACCCCAAAAAGACCTAATAAAAGAGTCTATTCAATAAAACATGCTACTGACATGTTCGCGACTCGCGAGCACACCGAACCGAGCCATGGTTGTTCGGATTTGGCTCATTTACTTACAGAGCTCAAAAAAATTTGCTCAAGCTTGACTCATTACTTAGCAAACAAATATGATATATGAACCAAAGTCTTACAATCCACCAAACTCGTACAAGCCAAGTCCAAGCTCTACGTGAAGAGCCCAGTCCATTTGCAATGCGATGGATAAGTATTATTAAATACACAAATGGATTCCTCGATCCGCTTTACTAAAACAGTTTTTAAATGCCTCTACATCAATGTTTATTAAGATGACTGACTTGTTCATTACAACACAAAATGCCCAGCAGGAGGGCTACTTGAAGAGGCAAGGGATCTTTGGTGTCTCCCATTTTCCCTGTTTGGGGTTCAGCAAGTCATTCCAGGATCAGCACTCAAGGAGCTACACAGCTAGAAAGGGGGCTGCTTGAAGTTGCAAGGGATCTTTGGGTGTCTTATTTAGTTATTTTTTCTGTGTCTGGGGTTCAATGAGTCATATCAGAATCAGCACTTGAGATGTTGCAAGGCTAGAAAGGGAGCTGCTTGGGTTCTAAGAGGGAAATTCTTTTACATGGCTTTCGTATATATATATATATATTTTTGATAAGTAATATACATGGCTTTCATAAATATACCTTGTGTGTACACGGGTTCTGCTCCTCTTGGAATCATTCTACAGTATTACCTTTACTTTTAATACTTATCAACACCCAAAAAAAAAAAAAAAAAAAACGCAGAATCTAAAGCAAATATTTTTCTTAATCATAGATTAATTGTTACATTGTTTTGAAAAATGATTTGTGCCACAGACTAATTAAATTTGAGAAATTACATACAGAATAATAGATAAAACAACCGCGTGAAGTGAACTGCGAAACCAGTTTTCTTGACATCCCCCACCCACTTTTTGCTGTTAACAAGTATGAAGAATAAAATGCTTAACCTAATCCAATCCTTTAACATCTCAGTCCTGCACACCACTATGATATGATGATGGCTTCAGCCCAAATAAAACTAAGATTAGAGAAACATGCTACACCAAATAATTGTAAAATTAAGTACTTTCTATATGAGAAATGAGTATATGATGTATATCACATCAATGTATATGGAAAAATAATAATAATTAGATATTAACGGATAATTTAAATATAATTTAAATATAAGCTATATGAGAAATCAGTATAATTTAATAAGATATTAACAGATAATTTAAATATAAGCTATTGAACAACAAAACAAATCCAGGATTTTTACACGTATTGTTATGGCCAATCATTCAGTCCTAATGAATCAGACGCTAATCTGTTCCAAAGGATCAAACCTTAACATGAAACAATCAAACAACGCATAAACCAAACAATCCATTGCAGACTAGATCTTTGTGCCAATGATTTTCAAAAACACAAATCACAGAATAGACCAAGAACCATGTCATTTATATCTCTCAAACTGACCATTTCAATTAAACATGACTAGTCACACAAGTTCTGTCTGAATCAGCATCTTATGATAAACAGAGTTTTGGAACATAAATAAGCATTCGACGTAGGGGCAATGAGGAATGGGATTTTGGGCTGGTATTAACCCTCAGAAGTTATTCAACAAAATTCCCCTAGCAACCAAATCAAATCTAATAAGTAAAGCAGGGTTCATACGCTAAACATCCTCATTCTCAACTGTGGAACTTTTTATGATTGTGGACATTCAAGGATTGTAAATAGACATATCTTATCGAACGATACTTAATTCAAAGTCTTATAGAGAGTATTATTAAATGATAAAACCAATATTCAGATATTCTGGGCACACGGACCTCTAACATTAATTTAAACTCACAAAGAAGAGATTCATATACTTGGTAACTTCACAATAAACTAGCTTTCCTAAAGTTTCATACAGTTATATCGAACTTTTATATTTGACTATTGAACATAACCTAACATATAGATCTCTAATTGAGATGGATTATTAAGTCAAACCAAAGTCATAATCGATAATCTGAATTTTTTAAAAGGCTGAAAAGTAAAAATAAAAAATCTGATCAAAATGTGAGAGAGAGACGCAACAAAACTCCCCAATATATAATCTCAACTAACAACATTTCAATTGCAAGTCTACATATTTTCAGAAACACATAGCCAATTAGCATTTTAAGATCCTGACGATTATAGATCAAGAAGAGTACAATAACAACAATTCAGAAAAAAAAAAAAAAAATCAAAATCTCCTATGGTATTCAAATCATAGATATGATGGATCTAGAATTTCAACGCCAAGCAACAATCATCGAGCCAGTCAGAATTAGGTTAAACCACTCTATATATATACACACACATATATACAATGACAAATTTAATTAATAATACAACAAAAGAAGAATGTACCTCGAACAGTTACACGTAGAAAGGACCCGAGGATTCGCAGAGGGTTATGGTATCAAGGATTCCTATCTTTGTTAGGATTCTCTCTCCTGGGTGAGAGAGAGACTAGAGAATAGAAGAGGAGAGAGAGGGGGGGTTAAGTGTCGTTATCGCTATCAATCAAAAGTTCCCGAGCGTTTCCTCTCTTCTGGATTTGCATTGGAAATGATACTGTCGAGGCTACCTTAAGGAATTCGTGTTAACCTACGTTACCAAAACCCCTTTTTTATTTTCTTTTTTCCCCCTTTTTTATATTTTTTTAAGTTCAAGCAAACAATATTTTTTGGAGGGCTGAAATATGGATAAATTTTTAAATTGTCCCGGATTATTTGTAAACAAAAAAAATTGAAACATTTGACACAATTATTTTGGTGTGCATTTGTGATTAATTCAAAATGATGTAATAATTTTTTATATTATCTCGTTTGAAAATGAAAACGAGAGATTATATATTTAAATTAGAAATTTTTGTATGATTCTAACTAATCATTAATTAATATATAATTGCGTCCCGATGTGTTTTTATTTGTATTTGCGAAGGCATATGAGTTTGGTTACAATTTTACTTCATTTATTTGCAATGTAAAATAACACCACTGCCGTAGGATGTAAAAAAAACTCTATTTGAATAATTGCATTGCATTAAAATTATTGAAGTGCAGATGTTGTATCAATTTTGTTTTTAAAGGTACCTAGTAGTGTGTAAAAGTAGGAAGGTGGGGCTATGCTTGTGTTGACATTGAATCTCAAATCTGAGACTCTCATCCACTGTGCATGACAATTTATATCTAGTGAATGTTACATTGTATGAACATTTCATGTACTATTCTACTGGATTCCATTCCTGTGCACTGATCATTGCCTACTGTATGCTTTACACATGGCAAACCATGAGCATTTAGGAGAAATCTTAACATCTCATAAGCTTCTACCTTTTAGAATGTATTGATGAACCCCATTGCACCCACAAGTAAGAAGGGAAAGGCTGCATACGAAGCCAAAGAGATGACAGCTTTATTCCAAACACACACATCTTTGAGACCAAATCCACCTTGTTGAATATCACAAACAACTCAACTCCAACCCATTCTAGCCGCTGAGGAATTTTCAACACCTTTCTATGAGAAGGACCTCTCATCTCATGTTCAAGCCGAGTAATAACTTTATCGCAGAAAACAAAATGACTTTTCCCAAGTACTAGCGACGAAAAATATCTACAGCTCTTTTACATTATAGGCTCTGGCCACGACAGTTGCGCTCATGATTGCAACTTAATCATAACAAGAGAAACATATCAAAACGTGTCCAACCTTTGCATAATTATGTTTTTAGTAAATCCACGGTCACTTCCATAACATGAGATTAGCCCTTATAACACGTAGGAAGGACTAGTGTCACTTCCTGACTCTACCGACAAGGCACAAGGCCACTGTGGGCCTGAGCTTGTCGAGAGAGTCTGTGTCACAGTTGTTTTCAATTAATAAAATCGGGCCAACGATCTGATGACGATTGAAAGTCATCTAGAATCATTGGTTGTCACTACACCTGTTAAAAGAAAGCACCGACTTTAGCCTACGTTCCATCAATAACAAAAATCTATAGAGAAGCTCAGGAACCATGACGTCAACCAAAGAGCATGCCAAGATTCATCATCTCTACATTGGTACTATAATTTGATGCAACACAGCACAGAGGGTGCCGCCCGACAGGCAAATTCTGGGAACATGACAGACTGCGTATCTGCTGTAACCTCACCCCCTTTCAGTACCATCATTCTCCATAAACAAACAAGAAATGCAGTAAAGATTAAAAAAATAGAAATAAAAACAAAAACAAAAAACAAAAAACTTAAGAAACGAAAAATAGAAAGTGGTAAAAAGGTGAAGTAGTAGCAATTAAATGGTTCCTTTAAACTAAAATTCTGATGCTTAATCCGACTGTAAGTACACTAACGTCCCTTTTTTTTTTTTCTAGTAAGTTGTGTTATGTTCTATTTCTTTTTCCCCTTTTGAACATAAGCTAAATAGCAACAAGATATTTAACTCAAGCAGCAGACTCCGGAGATCCATAGCCGTATGGATTCTTGCTGGCCCAGTTCCACTGATCTAGACACATCTCGTCGATGCCATACTTTGCCCTGCAAAAACACCACCATCACATGAGATAAAAGACAATGTCAAACTAACCATTGTCATTACGTGTTATCATTTTCATCTTACAATTCAGTTCAAATGATTGGGGACGACTCTACTACTTACAAGTGTAAAAAATACAATGATTTTCATTTTTCAATCTACTGTACTAATTTTCTCTTGAATATCATATTTTAATAATCAGAACCACATACGAAGTTAGCAGAAACTGACATATCAGTACAAGTATAACCATATCAGTTGCTAAAATTTCATGCGAAAAATAACGTCATGCATCATGAAGGAACCATGATTTCACCACCAGAGTTCTAGCATGTATGAATATATCCCCAAACAAGCTCAAGAGTGCAGTCCAGAATCCATTTGGCCAACTAGAAATTTAATTCACCACTCATGGAAGCATTATAACTAAAATTGTACACAGTAATGTAAATGTAAAATGGTACTTACTTCCACTTCAACTCGCGTTTTGCTTTGTCCGTTGATGCATACACGACCTCAGCATCACCAGGTCGCCGCCCAGCCAACACCATAGGAATTTTCTGGAAGAAGCAGGGGGAAAAAGCATACTCATAAAGGAAACTAATAATAATATCAACATTCAGTTAGAAAATAAAGGTTTGGAGAGAGAGAGAGAGAGAGAGAGTTTATGAATGTACAATTATGATGGCCAGAATAAACCGTTAAGTTTTTTAGCCATTATTTATCTCAAAAACACCTTGTGAGAAACAACAGCCTAGATCGGGTGCGGGTTTGGAAGTAGCCCTGACCCAACAATATAAACTTTAAATAGTGTGAGAAGGTGGAATCAGATTATTCCAAGGGTGCATCCAAAAAATAAGGGAGGAAAAAAAACTGTCAAAAATACAATTGCAGGATTTTATGGCTTGAATAGAACAACTGTTCGAGTTTGGTGTATGTAGCATTTTAACAGAAGGCACTCTGTACCAGAACCACACCCTGCTACTACTAACCACGCATCACCACATCTTCCCAAAACCCCATCTACACTTGAAATAAGCATCTGTCTCTCTTACTTTTTATTTTTTTTCATTTTGTTGGGGTGGGTGTCGGGTACTAAGTAATTATCACCAGTGTTTTTGTCCCAAACACAAGTCATGAATCCAGGGGATGAAATTCATATTTACCACAATTCAAAAAAAAGTAACCACTTCTATCACAGTGCCTTACCTGAACAATTTGGGGCCAGTAAAAGGAATACTTAAAATGTGATTTGGTGGGTTTATTTGCTCTCTAAACCTGAATTCCCATATGGGTAGGTATGGGTTTACAGGCCATAAAATTGGGAGCAGATACAACCATTCATAAATAAACAGCTAAGATCCGTCCAGACTCAGTCAATAGTCCAGATTCAGATTCTAGATTATTTTTAAGTTAAAATAAGGAGAATATCATGTCTCAGTTGGGTAAAACAGAAATAAATAGTTCCTGGGAAAAATGAATGTATGCATTTCGAAAAATTTCGGCGCATAAGAAAATTAAATACAGTATCAATAGTTGAATACCTTTCCTGATGCCTTTTCAAATGCTGCTACCATTTCCAAAACTGATGTTCCTTTTCCAGTTCCCAAGTTGTACACTTCACAACCTGCAGTTACGTATATTATCAGAATCAACATGTTAAAGTCTAACCCCATGTGATATAAAGCAAATTGTTTAACCAAAAAGTTTTTAACGGATGTCGTACAGAATTATTACTCTTTTTTTTTTTTTTTATTTTAAAAAGACCACGATTCCTATTTACATCATGCAAGAATATCATAAAGGACCAGTTCAAAATTTCTAGTGCTCACTAAGCAGGTTTGGTCCCTCCCTCCCTCCACCTTCCCCCTCTCCACAAACATTCACAAAGGCTGACAGTGCTTGAGCTATAACTATTTTAAAGTGAGGACGGTAGTTTCAACCTGCCCTTTGCTGATATAAAACCCAACTTGGAGGCCAAGTAAAGACCAAACAGCAAATCCATTCTTATTGGAAAAAATAAGCATGTGTAACTTAAATTTAATTTTAGATTACTTTAGAATAATTTGTGTGCTTGTGTCATACTCGATGTCTTATTTTTCAGTCACTCCAACATCCAGAACAAGGTCAACCGTCAATTTAAAACCAATGGTCTTGTCTTATGAACAAGGATAGTTTCAGATTTATTAAAAATACCTCATAATAAAAACATATCTGTCCTAAATCATCTGTATGAGCCATCTCAGGCCACTCTGGATGAGCATGGGTAGAGGATCTAATGGTATTAGGCTCAGATTACTGAATTGAAATATAAGAATATTGACAAGTAAAGGGAACACATCGGTAGTTACTATGATAAGAAGAATTGTTAACACTATATGCATACATGAGACTGAGTCAATAGGAAAGAAAGTTGGGGAAATTGGAAGCATAGCACAAAAATGTTTAGGGAATATAACATGTCTTGACCAATAAAATGGCATAGTAAGATCATAGCCACAGAAAATATTACATTTGAGGAGCACCAAAAAAAAAAAAAAATGTAGTATTGTAGAACCAACTTATAAACATAAGGAGATATTCAAAGTTGTACAAATCATCACATCATTAGAATTAAAGTCCTATATAATAAAACTTTGCGAGAATGATTAAGTAGTGACTACAACCAGTGTTATCAAAGGCACACTAAGGCGCTATAGGTCCTTTGGAGCCTAGGCGCAAGGTGCGAGGCGAGTCAAGCACCTGAGAGTAGTGAGGTGAACAATTGAAAAATTACAGTACTTCTAAAGCATATTCATATTCCATATTCAAGGCGCACCTGGGCACACAACAGGCGCAAATGTTGCGCCTGTAGGAACCTGGAGCCTAGGTACGCCTTTGACAACACTAACTCCAACTTAAAACAACAATACCAAAAATAAATCTGAATTTATGCTTAGTAGGTCAAAATAGAAGTTATGTACTTATTAAGGAGATGAACGGAAAGTTATTGAAAGAAGATCACCAAATGATTCTTATAGAGCTGGAAAAAATATATCACAAGGCCTCGAGAGATATAATTTGGTAGATGTAAGAAAAAGAGGAATCAAAAATAAAAATACTAGACATGATAAAAGGTAAATATGATGAAGCTGCAATTTTATAAGGACAACTGTAAGAAACAATTCAAGTTTCCAATGATTGTAGACTTACGGCAGAGAACAACATTAAGCCTTTACATTTTTACCTTAATTATGGATAATCTGACTAGAGACATTGAGAATAAAGTTTCTTAATTAATAAAGTCAGGACGATGGAGTGATTTAAAAAGTACTTAAAAAGATCACAGCACAAAAATTACTTAATAAATCATAGCAAATATTAAAATGTTTGTTGAATAGCAAAAAAGTGGATATGTATTAAAATAAAGGGATATCCAAAGTTGTACAACTTATCGTGACATTCGATTAAAAAGTCATATTATGGAAATTTGGGGAGAATAATAAATGACTAAGACTTCAAACAATGGTGTTGAACAATATCTTTTCAACATTTTAGGTAACTGTTTTCCTTACACAAATTTAACCATTTTTCCCCCTTCTTTTATAAAGTTCTGAATGGATAACAATCCATTAAAGGGTATTATTGTAAAAGTAGTACTCGAAATGCTTTAGGCAATATTGTTAACAAACAAATTAATTAAGTATTTATGTAATGCATACCAACAGAATGCCAATTGTCAACATTATCAGGCATAGTTGTTAAAGGCAGTAAGGCATCAAAGGTCTTTTGAAGCCTAAGCTCCGAAACATGTGAGCCAAGTGTCCAAAATGTGTCGGCCAAGTGTCTGAATTAATAAAAATAAATAAATTAAATTATTGTTTTCAAGATTGTTACATGTGTCCATGGAGTGTCCAACACAAATATGACACTTCCTTAAGTAAAATGTTTTATATTATGCTTTTATTTTTCCGCCTTTCATGCATTTTGTTTCAATTTGAAAGAATAACTAGAGCTGTAACTTTGATACAACTGGCTCTTCAACACATCTAATCAAGACATATAAGGACATAGTATGGAAAAAATACAAATCATCCGTGGAGATGGATACGGGAAACAAAGAAGATAACAATTTCTAACCACATACCTATGGAAGGATCAGATAGCTTGCACAATGCAGCAATATGACCATCCGCTAGATCCACAACATGAATGTAATCACGTACCTGAAAATTCAAAAGAAACAATTAAGATAAAAACATTATTTAAAGCCAAAATCTGAGAAAGGATATATATCTAAATCAATCAACAACTAGAATTCTCCTTTCAGAGTATAGGATTAATACACACCATACAAATTGAAATCCATTTGAAGTTTTCACATAAAACCATATGAAGTTTCCATATTTTTCATAAAAAAATTAAGGAAAAATAAAGCAAAAAAACTGGAACATCCCCAGACTTTAGTATGACCCAACCCAGTAAGCCAGTCAACAGTAATTTCTCAAGCACACTTCCAGATCTGATATTTGGCCTATATTTTGATATTTTTATTAAAAACACAAAAGGGCTGCTTAAAAAATGAGGGACAGGTTAAAAACTATAAACACTAACAAATTTTTTTTTCATTGGCAAGAAACACACACACCTACTATGCCCCTTTGAGGACTTGAATCCTCACCATCCACTTTGGGAGATAGAGGAGATACCACTAAGCCACAAGACCCATGGTATAAACACAACAATATTATTATTATGACATCTCACATCTCATTGTGTAAGCAGTGAGGGTGTGAGACCAAGACAACTTTTTACACCAACTATTGCATAAACTTCTTATTTTCATTTTAAAAAAAAAACTCCAGGAGGTTTGTTTAAATAGACAAAACAAAAGCATACTTGCATGTAAATATTGAATTAGCAGTGTACAACAGGAAAATAAACGAAAAGAAATTTGATTAAAGCAGAAATGTTGGCAATGAAGGCATACCCCTGTACCATCCTTTGTAGCATAGTCATTTCCATAAACTGTCAATGCTGGTCGCCTGCCAACAGCTACTTGCTGCACAAAGGGCATGAGATTGTTTGGTATACCTCGGGGATCCTCGCCAATGTAGCCACTAGGATGTGCACCAACTGGATTGAAGTATCGCAGCAATATAATTTTCCAGCCAGAGTCCGCACGGTGGATATCACGGCATATTTCTTCAATGACAAGCTGACAGGTTCAACCTTGTTAGACAATTAGATATTATACTGTGAAAGAAGACAGTCAATGAAAACAAATATTTGAACACAAAAACAGATAAATCTTGTGCATGGCACTCGTGATTAAATAAAGTAGATGTTTTGATTCTATTATAAAACGGGCTCTGAGTTATTATGCACATCATCATAGTCCAAAATATACCTTGGTTCGTCCATAAGGATTTGCAGCAGATAAGGGGAACTCTTCTGTACATGGAACCTCCTTCGGCCAACCATAGACAGTGGCTGATGATGAAAAAACAAGCTGTAACACTCAAAAGATCGAAAATCAGTCAAGAACATATAATCACAACTAGTGCAAAAGAAGAACTCTGTCATGCAACCAAATCTAAAATCTAGAAGTAGGCAACTTATCCAATGGGAAAAATTTTAAGCTTTAAAGTCCATGCTTGTCCTATCCAGTTACATGTAGAAGTAACAGAAAAAGTTGTAAACTATGCAATGTAGACAATTGAAGATTAGCAACTTAAGGAGGGGGAAAAAACCACGGAAATATAGTGTTGTGAAATATTGTTCAACTAATTATTAGTATCTTTTTAACATACATAAAAGCCATGAAATTTGAAACCTAACATGAAGTGATATGAGACAGGTACCTTCTTGCATCCATAGGCAGCCATGACTTCCAAAAGAGCAATTGTACCAATAAGGTTGTTATTATAATACATCAATGGTTTTGCCACACTTTCACCAACTGCTTTTAATCCAGCAAAATGGATAACAGCATCAAATCTGCAGTTCAACAAGAATGGGCAATAAAAGAAAAATTAGAGGTCATATACCAAGCAAGGAACAACCTTCATATAAACCACAGATTCAATTCCACGGTCATGTTTAAGAATGTAATCCATCCAATCACTAACAATAGTTTTGCATGAAAAAAAAAAAACTTGAATGGATCAATTAATTTATTTGACAAGTAATGACTCAGCAATCACTCCATATGGTTTAAATTTCATTAAGCACAACATGGAGAAGCTTGCTTGTAGGAAAAGGTCCAATATGGTAGATGATAAGAGAATTATAATCAAATGATATGCATACAATAACTTACTATATATATTTTTAAAAAACCAATATTTATGTTATATAGTAGCATACAGAACAACTTACTTTGTTGAAGCAAACAGCTTTTCAAGTGCGGGCTTATCCCGGAGGTCCATCTGTAGGTAAACCAGAACAACGGAATCAGACCTTAAATTAGAAATACAAATGGCACCATGGGCAATAGTTGATTAATCTTAGTCATGTGTCTACCATAAAAATAAAAATTAAATTAATTAATTAATTAAACCTAAAAATTGTGTCATAAAATATAAAAATGATTCAAAATGTCAACTGCATAGCAAAATTTGTGAAAATGGATGTTGGCAATCGAAACTAACCCAAATTATCAGAAGTTTATGTTAGCAGCTGACTTTATTTTCCAAATCCACACATATTTTTTCATATATTAACTAAAAAATCATCACCAAGAAAATAAGTTCAAGTTACATATTTTTTCATATATGTAAGGTCACAATTATTCATAAACTTCTAACAGGACAGTACCTTTCTTCCACATAGTATAAACATTTTAAATAGCAGTAGTGCTTAATATTATATATGTCAAATTAGAAACTTAAAATAACGACTTTGAGAAAAATATACACTAAAAGGAGAAAGCTAAGTGCAGTGGCAATTGCACAACATAAGCTCTTGGATCTGTGGACACTCTGAGACCCACAAGATCTTAGGGCAGAGAGTGACTGGCTGAAATTGCACAATCGGATTGTGATCAACACAGTTCACATTGAGAAGCTCAATTGCACAAGCGCGGACCTATTTGGAGACCAAGGGACCTGGCTACACAAAATTTTTGAAATCCCTATTTTATAGAGTTCTAAAATTTTAAAATACTAAAAGATTTACTTATCAAAAAAATATTAGCTGCTCCTCACAAAATTTCTTTGTGGAATTTACTTGTTAATGCAATATTTTTTTTTTTGGCGAGTGCATTTTTTTTTTAATATATTTTATTTAAAATTCAATATTGAAATTATTTATTATTAGCTTTGTGGAGTTTACTTGTTAATTTTTTTTTTTTTTTTTTTTTTTTGGGTAAGTAATTTTTTTAATATGTTTTATTTATAAATTACAAATTGATATTATTTATTAGCTTTAATGTAATATTATTTTTTAGTGAGTAAATCTTTTTAATGTAGTCTAATTTCAATAAGGGAAAAATTTACTTACCAAAAAATGTAAATTTTTAATACATAATAAATAATCTCAAATATTTATTTTTTTTAAATCCACATAGATATATAAAAACCATATTTTTCTCCTCCTTGTTTTACTATTTTGTAACTTTAATTTTTTTTTTTTTTCCATTTATATAGTTATACTTGTTAAATACCAAACTAGACGTAAAGAACAATATTATAGTTTTTTTTAAAATATATATATTATTTTTAAATCCACATTTATATATAAAATCCATATTTTTCTCCTCCTTGTTTTACTATTTTGTAACTTTAATTTATTTAATTTTTCATTTATAGAGTTATGTTTATTAAATACCAATATATATATATTATTCATACACTAGTTCGCCCCCAAAATATAAGTACTTCCTATCGAAACAAAAAAAATTCTACAGATTAAGCACCAAATCAAGTGATAGATCATAGTAAAGCTTAAACCTGTGAAATCTAGATAGACCACAAACAAACGCCTAATCATCGGTGATCTATACATGCATGCGCACAGAAATATAGACATAAAAAATAAAAACAAAAATAAAAAAAGAGACAATCATGACCTAGAACTGGAGTTGTGCCGAACCTGATGAAACGTTAGGTTAGGGCCATGTTTGCCGGCGAGTTCTTGAACTCGCTTGATTGCGATTGGGGAAGAGTTATCGAGATTGTCGACCACCACAGCCTTGTATCCACCCAGCAATAGTTGAAGCACCGTGTGACTTCCGATATACCCAGCACCACCAGTAACCAAAATAGTCTGTGCCATGGTTAATCAATATACAGATACTGTACTATATCTATGTGTGTGTATATATGTGTATGTATAAAGGAACAATTGTTTTTGTGTATAGAATATAGAGAGATCTGAAATTTCGGAATAGACGAGAAAGAGAAGAGAATTGATTTGACAAAGTAAGACTCTGATCAGGGTGTGTATTTATATATATATATTTATGGTTTGCGGCAGAGAAATAAATGTTGAAAAAGGAATGTGTATTTTATATTGAAATGGAAATTATATATATATGGAATGAAGGAGATGAGCCACGTGGTGGCAAGTTGTCGTTTAGGGCATGCTTTTTGTTGATCTTTCTGGTAACAGAGTCGTATCGAAGTTTTGTACTCTGGCACGGCGTAATATTCTATCGAGAAGTTGACGGACAGTTGGATTGGGTGAAGTTAGGTCTGTCTACTTTACTCTGGAATAGATTTTGAAATTAAAGTGTTACTTGTAGTGACCAAATTAACCGAATGGAGACGCTATTGCGTGTCCATTTGGTGTGGGGGGATCCGGGGCAACGCGGTACCAGTGTTGTCCTCTATTTGGTGTGGACTTCGGGCTACCATCCACCTACAAGTTTTATACTACATTGAATGTTCGATAATATTTTGAATACACTTTGTTGCATCAAATGACATTATATTATATTATATGATGCTGCAACACCTAGATACAATGCATCGGACTGTAACACATATCAGAAGATTTGAACTTTGACTTGTCCTTCCGCTAAAAAAAATTAAATTATTTAAAACGGATTATTTTTTAACCGATTAAAAATACTTTTATTTTTAAAAAATATATTGTATTTATATTCATTTGCAATGTTGATCCATTTTAGTTCAACAGAGTTTTGAATGAATCTAAAATTTTAAATTTTTAAAATTGCGTTTTGAATAACAATTTTATCTCTTTTATATTTATAAAAACAATTTCATCCCTTTTTGTTATAAAATGTTATTATCAAATAATATAAGCACTTTTATACAATATTGCTACAAGACAAATTAAAAAATACTTTAATTGTAAAAAATACTTTATGTATATTATATTATTAAGAGTAATTTTATGACACTTTTATTAATAAAAGTATTTTTACCATTCTAACAACAAAGCGAAATTGGGAGTCATTAGACTCGATTATTACCTTTTTTTTCTTTCAAAAAAGTTATTGTTTACTATTTGGGATTTGGGTTTTGTTTAGGTATATTAAAGTTTCCAAAAATAATTTTTATTTACTGTATTAGCGTACTAAATAACTTAACTGCAAAAGTAGAACCGAAAGGCTGCAATAGTTTGATCTTAGAGTATGGTTTATAATTCATTATTATAAAAAAGATTTGTTAGGTCGGTGTATAATTAAGCTGAGTGGGCATAACTAAAAAGATTCAGCAATTTGAAAGATGGAGACTTGTTCCCTTTTTCTTTGGGCCCACTAAAACCAATAAAAACCAAATCATGAATCCCATCATTACCTATAAATGTTACACGCAGTATCTTAATCATGCCATAACGGTTTTTGACTGGAACATGATTTTGGAGGTAGATGTGCTCAATATCTCAGGAGTTGGGTCGGTGGCTTGATTCTTGACTCTACACCGCCCAAGGATGTGATGGTCATTTTCGCACTACCTTTTTTTTATTATTATTCCTTTTTTGATTTTAACGTTGAAGGGGACAAGCGGGACAGTATTAATTTGGCCAGGTGTTCTTCCAATGAATTCTCTTTAGGTAAAGTTGTTACATGGTTCATAAATTATTCGCCACATGAATTAATAACTTTTAGAAAAATGTTAGTGGTAATGACCAAAATAACCGTGTGGATCTGCTAACGTGTAATATTGCATCAAAATGATACACTTATTATACGTGGAGTAAGAATAATAATAGAAAAACCGAAAAAAAAAATTTCGAATTAAGATCAACGATTCTATTTAAATGTACTATTATCTATATAGCATCGGACGGTATTATATTGTACTTCATCCCACCACAGCACCTAGGCACAATATGATTAGCAATATTAAATAACTTTAACTCCAAAAGTATAGCAGAAAGGTTGCATAGGGTTTTTTTTTTTTTTAAATTAATTATTAAGGATTTGTTGGATAGATTAAGTTGAGCAAGGAATAAACTAAAAAGATCCAATCATTTGAAAGATGGATCTCTCTTCCTTTTTTTTTCTTTTGTCCACTAAAACCAACAAAAATCAAATCATTAATCCTATCTCTCTGCCTATACCTTTTAAATGTTACACCAGCATCTTAAATTCTTAATCATGCTATATATTATTGTTTTTGACTCGAAGCAATGATTTTGGAGGGGAGATCTGCTCAATCTTCAAACTGAATTTTGAAAAGAAATGTGATCATTTTCATTTAAGTCAAATTTACCATTTTTTTCATTTTAAATATATTTTTAGGTGACGTTTAGACACACAATCCGATACTCTCAAACGCACAAGTTTATTCCGCATCCACAAATATCTTAATATTCCATTTAGAAACAATGTTTGAGCGCATATAGAAGCAATGCAACAATGAAACACTCAACCAGAGGAAAAGAATGAATGCAAAAATCTTAATATTCCATTTAGAAACAATGTTTGAGGCATATAGAAGCAACGCCGCAATGAAACACTCAACCAGAGGAAAAGAATGAAAGGGGTTGGGGTTCCAATAATAATTGTCCAAGTGACAAACGATATACAAGCATTAGATACCTCCATATAGAATATATTTTGGAATTTGGATCACCTCTTTTAAACTTCCCTCTATCAAATGAACACCATGAAAGAAATGGCTCACAAAGATAAGGTTCTCATCAATCTTTCGTTTCAAAATCGAACCAATCCATTCTTTTGCCACCCTTACGATTTATTAACAAATTCTTACATTCATATATGATTTAATTTGTTCGAATTTAGGCCTACGTCAAGAGAAGGGGGTTTAAAATTAAAATTGAAAAAGATGAGGCAGTGTAATTAAGGTTTTGATCCTGCAATAATTGAGGAAGATTAAAACTAATTGAATTAACAGTACAAAGAGATATAATCAATGAATTATAGTTCAATCATTAATGATAGTAAATTAGAACTACATAATATCTAGGTGAATTTCCCGTCATAAGGCATTCTTGACATAATTTGATAAACGGTTTATGGATGAGTGGATTAAATTGGGTAAGAATTAGTATTCAAAACAATATTAAGGATGAGAAAATTTATCATTACTCTTTGAAAAAATTTTGGTTCAATTTTCTTAACTATTTTTCTCAAATTCCATAAATTCCAATGATAAGGCTCCAATTGAGTAATGATAAGCAACGCGAAAACTCCCGAATCTGATTCATCTAAGCTACCTCTTACATGGTATAATTGAAAGGAGAAAAAAGGAAAGAAAAAAATAATAATAAGAAGAAAAACATGGTGCTTCTTGTTCCGCTCACAAACAGGAAACTAGAAACTCTCCAAATTTGGAGGAGAGAGCAAAAGAAAATAATCACAATCTTGTTCCCGTACTAAGTAAAAATTCTTAGAACTATACAGTATTATAACAAAACAAATATAGTATTAATAAAACAAATACAATATTATATGTTATGTATTGTGATTTAAGATTTTGGTAATAGGGAAGATGGAGAGTTTTTAGTTTCCAGTTAGTGAGAGGAAAGAGGAAGACCACTTTTCCTTCTTTTTGTCTTTCCTTTTTTTCCCTTTCAGTTATAACACGTAGGAGAGGACTTTTTCTTTTTTCCACTCTTTCTGTTTTTACCTTTTTTGTGTTGCCTATCATTACTCTTTCTCAAATTCCACCAATTTCAATTCCAATTCTAATTCCAATTTTAATTTCAATTTCAATTTCAATGCTCCAATTTCATGCAACTGAACACACCTAAACACATTTTAAAATGTCATAGTTTCTCTAATATCTCTCAAATTATAGATATTAAAGCAACCAATAAGCCTCCTTCGGTTAGATGGAAATTAAGTGAAAGAAAAAGAAAGGGAAATAAATGAAAGGAAAATAAGTTTTCCATGGTGTATTTGGTTAGTTTGAAAATTTTTCAAGAAAATTAAGAAAAATTACCATTTTATGGTTTGGATAAGATGGAACTTACTTTAAAACAATTTTTTGTATTTTTCAAGAAATCAAAATTTTGTAAGATCATAAAACTTTCTCAAAAAATCAAAATTTTCCTGTAATAATAATAATAATAATAATAATATTTTAATTTTTTTTTGCAAAGAAAAAATTATGGAAAAACTGGTAGTTATGGAAAGCAATTTTTCTTCAAAAGTGTTCAGCAATTTTCCATTTCATTTATTTTCTTCCTATTTCTACCAAACCAAATTAGAGCGTAAGGGAAAGAAACCACTGCGGATAGTTTTGGACAAGGTTCCTGTCCAGCAAAATCTCCCTCCATCCTGTGGTCTTCAAGAGAGATTTGACTGGAGACTATCCAAATTCAAATTGGATCCACTCAAAACTGTAAAATCTAGCAAGAAAAAAAGGAAAAAAATAAATAAAATTGAATAACTTGGAAAATTAACTTTCAAAACCAACTAAATTACAGCCATTGGATGAGTGAATCCCAAGTATTCATCCAATGGTTGGAATTTAATCAGTTTACAAATGGTTTAGGAAGTTGAATGCATTAGCATCACTCGTCTAGCAATCACCAAAACTACACGAAATTGTTGAACAAGTAACAACAGAGTTTACATATATAACTACGCCAAAAGCTGCGACCCTGCAACAATCAAAGGCTGCTACACCCAACATGCCACAACATTCTTAACCTTAAATTGCAAACTGAGTCAATAGAATCATACTATTGAACAAAAAAACTGCACCATATTTTAAAATAGCACAAACTTGGCATATATCAAAAGTTAATAGCAATTTGTAGTCAAACCTTTATTAGAAGTTCATAGAACCAAAAGCCACCTCAGTTCAAAATTTCAAGCTTCAAAACACCAAATACAATCTCATCGTTCCCACAAGACAGTACCATTGTTTCAGTCAATAAAAGCCATGAAATATGTCAAGGGCGCAGGCAAAAACTAAAAGAAAGCTATACAGTACCACAGTGAATGAACTAAAAAAATGGAAAAAGGCTGCTTCATAAAATTGACATGAATAAAAGTATCCAAGGCTCTGCAGTTTGGTTTTCCCAAGTACTTTAACTCGGAACAATGATTTCTTGAATGCAACAAGGATGCTGTGCACAAGTAGCTGGTATCAGTTGCCAAATCGACCTCTTCCCCATTGCTGCCTTTGCCGACCACCTCCAGTTTGTCTTCCACCATTATTATGTTGAGCCGAAACCCTCATCCTCTGCTCCTTCATGTTCGCAAACAGAGAATCCAAAGTTTGAGGCCTCTGCTTAAGCACCATGCTTGCTTGCTGTGACCGCTGCACACAAGAGCAACCCTTGTAAAATTTATCTACAATCATGAGGTCAACCTCATGGTTCTTGTCCACAGCTATCCTTTGTAGTATCACAATTTCAATACGAAAAATAATGCATGTGCTGCATCACCATGTTTCCCATACCAAAATAGCCCCACCAAAATACCATAATATAAAATCGCATGAGGTGGTCAAAGATGACAGCTCAACTCAGTCAAACATAGAGAAGATAAAAGTTCAACTAGAACATATGATTACGAAATTCTGGTTGTTCAATCCTTATCCTATCCCCTATAAAAGGGTGAGGTGCGTGTCTCATTCTTGTGCATGATCGGGATTAAAAAAATTGGAAGCATATGGATAATTACATCAGGTCAACCTCGTTCTAACTTCTTCCAATTTTATATTTCACATGACCAAATATGCATCACACCAAAAAACTGCCATTAATTGGCCTACACTAGCACATAAAAACTCGCGAGGGAAATGTCCATCAATAAAAGGATAAACAGATTAAGGGCCCAAAAAATAAAATTTCAATAAATATAAATTATCCTTTGACTAGGTGTCTGATGAGTACTCTTAAATTCTTAACCCACAAAAACAATCCCATCAAACAAACAAGTTGACGTATAGACACTCTCACTGGGTTGGATTCAAAAAATGTCCTTACCTCGTCCAACAAAAAAATAAAAGGGAGGGCAAAACATTGGAAACACAAATCCCAGGTAGGGTGCATGTTCACAAGGTCACTACAACTGAATGTATTAGACATCTTCCCCACAGAAATATAAATATAATTATATACAATAAACAATACACTTCCAATAAATGCAGAACATAAATATAATTACCTTCACAGCAAAGCCACCATTTGCAGCCCTCCTCTGAACTGGTGGACCTACAACCCTGCACATAGAAAGCAATCTAAAGTTGAGAGACCAAATCATAGAATCCTTCTAAAAACCGAACTGCACTGAGAGGAATATGTACCACCGAGTTGTCAAGAACAAACATTGATCAGTCATTACAACAATAGATTCACTTGACTGGGAATACTTACCATCATTACTTCTATCTATTTCCAACTAACAAAAAGAAGACAAACCATATCAGGACACTAAGTGAAGTTCAGTAATGTTCAGGACAGATCTCTAGTTCTGCAAGCTCCCATCTAATTGAACACATATCTGCCACTAGTTAAAAAAAATACCGGTTTTGCTGTACCAAAACCTGGAGAACGACCTCCATGGAGGAGCAGCAAGGAATGCCATATGGCGCTCTCCTTAGTAGTCAAAGATATACAAAATCTTCTCCTGAAAATTCTTCAAATTCGGCCTGAGAACAACTAAAAAACTCCACCCCCAGAAGCCACAACAGCTTTGGCAGGCTAATACTTGTGCAACTCAAGTATAGAAAATCGGAAGGCACTACAAACTCAGCTGCTGACCACTAAAGGTTCCTGAAATAAGATGCTAGCTATGTGCAACACTCTACAAATGCTATATTCTGACATACATCTAGCACAAAATAATTTCCCGTTCATCATCATCTTGTGCACAACAGGTATAGATCGAAGACCTTAAACATGTGTTCGGTGAGCCAGAATATACCATTTCAAACTTCAATGCTAGTGCAAGGTGCTCGGTAGCAAATTGAGACTGATATGCAAGTGGGAGAAGACAGAAAGTTACAACAGCAGTGAAATGTCGAGTATTCATTAGAAGGGATTACACCAAAAGCAGCTCCCCTGAATTACTGACACAACAACACAAAAGATGAAGTGCCTTGTATCCTGCAACCTTATCTTCCCAGTTATGATATAAAGCCAAAATCCATCAACAGGAGCTGTAGACCAGATTGGTTATATAAAGGATAAGTTCAAAGGAGAATGAACAAACCAACCAGAATTATGGCATGCCAAACATTGACAATCTAACAGCAGAACCAAAAAGCAACAGACCTCTCAACATAGAAAGAGAAGCTGCCATGAGGATAAACCTTCAACTGAAGCAATTATTTAAAACCAGGAAACTTAAATAACACATGCTAAGCATAAGGCAGCCATGATAACCATCGGAAAGAACCACTATCCAGTTAACACTGCAATATGGTAAGAAAAATCTATCCTACCATGAAGCCAGCAACTTAATGCACTATAATATTGTCCTTGCACTATGTGGATTCCCAAAGGAACATGGTTCTTTACCCATCACCTTAAACTCAATACTCTTTTCCTTGTCAATACTCTTTTCCTTGTCAATCCTCTGCTGCTTCAATCCAACCAGAACAGTATAAATCCAATTATGTAGAATAGCCGAATACAATGCTGTTTACCCAACCACGTACAACACAAAAATCCAGCTCAAGGCTTCTTTTTGAATGCCAAAAAGTGAACAGAAGACACTCGGTACAAAAAACTCCCAAAAATTGGAGCTTGCCATTCACACCCAACCGAATACAGGAGTTCCATCGACAGTACACGATTTAACATATATTAAGCACAAACACATGGCAAAACCATCTACGGATAAAAACCATGTTTTACCTGCAGCATATCCAAAACCAGAGATTTGGTTAGATTAAAAGCAGTCATTTGTTGGACGTCACATTGTTATAATCATCTCCTCATTGCTATAATAACACAACATGCTGTAAAGTACCTCGGTTTAATCATGTCAACCGCCCTGCTTCGGTTAAAAGGTCTGTTACGTATGGGAGCAACTGCAGCCTTGCGTGCAGCTTCGGTTGCCAAATGAAATTGGTTTCCCTGGAAATTTGACCTCCTCTGAGCAAGAGCTCCCTAGACACAAAAAGAATCTCAGAAAAAGAACAACAAAATGATATTGAGGTCAATGCATTACTTCCATTTTCATTGTACAATGAAATTATCATCTGTTTACCTGTCTAAGAGAAGATTTTGAGTTCATAAACTGTCGCAATTGTGCAGTTTTCACTTGGGCAGCATTGTTCAAGAATTTTGCACTTTTATTCTGTATAAATTAAAAACAAACACTTTCTCTTAGATATCATACAGTCTTGTGTATGGGCACTATTGCAATAGCATAGGACAAATAAGTTGATGTACTTTGAAAGACTACTAAAATCTCTTACCGGAATTCTTTGCTTCTTATCCTTATTTGTGGTACTTTTGGACATTTTGATGATATCATCTGTGTTAAATATCAGCAGAAATAATCAATAAAAGACTGTATAAAAAAGAAGCAGAAGAAGCAGAAGAAGAAGAAGAATAAGAAGATAAGAAGGCAAGAGTTGTTAATACACAAATGACAAACCTAATGTCATGTCCATTTTCTTCTCTGTGAGAGCAATAGCCTCGTTTGTTAGTGGTTTAGCCGCCATCTGGAAAAGGACAAAGAGTAAGTCAAGGTAAATCAACCTAAAAATGTAGAATAATGGACCTTATAGATATATAAAAAAGCTGCCACTTTTCCTAATTAGCAATGGCATGCATATAAAATCCATATGAAGACTAAAGCAATAGGAAGACACCATCGTAATCAATAAACTAGGAGAACAGATTTATCAACAAAATGTAGTAACAGGAGGACTAAATCTAAAAAAACTATAGCAAAGAGAATGAGAAAAGCATTTCAACTAGAAAAGATAAAATTTAACTGATACGCAAGGCCTGAAGACTGATAAGAGAAGACTTGCTAACACACCCAAACAGAAAGAACAATGGGAAGGGAAATTACTGAAGCAGCTAGCCAAAAAATAATAATAATAAAAAAAAAGCTCTTTTTCATAATTTTCCTTCAAATTTTTCCTCAATCATATTCCTTCAATTTATTTCCTTTCCCAGTCTTCTGATAGCAACAATACCAGGGGCTCCTATAGTTTAAATAGAATACATTTCTAGGAATAAAAATCGAACATATTTAATTCTGGCTGGAAAAAGAAAAGAAAAGGAGAAAAGCTTTCTAATACAACTGGAACCTTTAATAAAATATTTTCGCCTGGAAATATTCAAGAACAAATAGAACCAAAAATTTCATCAAAAGCAGGTGGTGATATACCAAGTTCTCAAGGATATAATGATGATGACATGAATAAATTCAAGTGCCACAAGATTCCATAAAACATTAGAAACATGGTAACAATAACCCAAAGATGAAAACCAATAATTACATAAATTTCAAGAAACCCCACATGCAAAAGGTAAATAACAAAATTTTAGGAAAGATGTACAAAAAGGACAGACAATCTTGCTTGAGGTTAGTTTCATACAAAAAGTACCGACAACAACCTTTTATTCTTCTTTTGCTTCCTCAACTTTCTCACAAACAAACAACATTTCATAAAATTATATTCATAATAAATAAAAACAAGAAATGTAGAAGAACAAATCCTGGGGGTTCCAGACCGGCTGACCTCAACCTTTAAGCAATGAAAGAACTACATTGATCAAACATGTCCACGAAAATGAACTAAACATCATATATACACGCATATACACATACGTATGAACATATATTCGAGACAATTTGAGAAGTACAAGGGATGCTTACCTACTTGCAAAGACGAACTTTGGTGAAAATAGAAATCAGAAAGAGCTGAAATTAGGGTTAGGGTTCCAAGATATGAACAAAAATGATTCGAGGGATAGCAGAAAGAGAGAATTGTTACCCAAAAACAAGAGACGAAAACGAGGGCGCAATATAGAGGAAAAAGATTATATACAGGTACAATAAACTAGGCGGACTTCCAAGTTTTAATCAAATGAAATTTATAATTTCGTTTCAGGTCCGCAAAGCTTGCGTAACCGCACGTATATTTGAGGTAGACACAGCTAAGGCTTTTCTGCAACTCAATCTAACGCGACACGTCATTAATACCTAATCTCAACGTCGTCGTTTCCCAGGACATAATAGAACAAACTACTAAGAGACAAGTGGTGTAAATAAATTGACTTTTTGAAAAAAAATAAGTACAAATTAATATTTTTCCTTTCACTCTCTCCATTTTTTACTTTTTTATTTTTTTTAATGCTTTTGGCAATTGTTTCTATTTTCAATTTTCAATTTTCAATTTCATATGAAGCAGAAATAATATATTCGTTATGCTGTGATTTATTTTGAAACAAAAACATATTTGGGGAATTTTAAATTGCTGCACAATATTCAAAGAAAAAAAATTGAAAATGATGTTTGAATAATTGTAAAAAAAAAATATAGGATTTATATTATATTAATTTTTAGAAAAAAAATCTCTCTGCAATTGTTCAGCTATAGTGGCAAAAACAGTTGAAAATATTATTTTTCTTTCAACTTTGGCCATTTTTTTTTAGAAATATTACCAAACATGTTTTACGGTTTGTTTCTATTTTTACTGATTTGACAATAAATACATAAAGAAAAAATAATTGCCAAACATCCCCCTTTTCAATTTGGTACATTATGTTCCAACATCTATCAACCATGGTCTTACAACAATAGGAAAGAGGAGAACATTTTACATGTCAAACTCCATATTGTAAAAATTATATAAAATTGGAAAGTTAGATTAATCATTTGGGCGAGTGAATATCCAAGGATGGGGGCTACAAGCTGTCGAATGTTTTTTTTTTACCATTAATAGAATGGTCTCATGCTGGTTTTTTTATCCCTTTTTACCCTTTTCAGCTATACAAAGAAGCAAAAGTAATTGAACATAAACAAAAGGTGGAAGATAGGAAGTAGAAAGAAGTAAAAAATGCTTAGAGCCCACATCTAAGACCACCATTTCACGTAATAAGAGGCTTAACTTCCATTGCTAGCTGAAATATGACCAAGACTCCATGCTACAGGAAATCTAAAACCAATGGAAGTTAAGCCTATTATTACGTGAAAGGGATACAACTTTACAAACTCAAGAAAAAAAAAAATCAACTCACAGTTTTTGGGTTTTTTTTTTTTTTTTTTTTTTTTTTTAACAAAGAGGGCAAAATAGATTATTGTAGTGATTCAATTTCGCTGATAGTTTGTAGCGAAGCAATGTTGCAACTCACATATAAATAAAAACCATCTTATTCTGATCATTTAATTTTCTGTCTCCACTCTTCATGAGGGGCCTAGATTGCCGAATAATTGAACAAAAAACTAAATCAGTTGTTTCCATAGACCCACTTCTCTGAGTTGCTAGTGTAATTAACCAACTCATCTGGCTTGAACCATAGGTTGATTTCATCTATGGCAGTCTCAGGGCCATCACTCCCATGGATGATGTTTCTGCAAGGCAAAACAAAAGATCAGGGTGTGCTTTCAGGACAAAAATCCTTAACATTAGAAAAAGAAAACCGGAAGCAAAAGACCAAGACTGTTGCTTTGGTGGAGCTAAAGAAGAGCAAGATTCAAGATGTGAAGAACTACATTGTATTGTGAAGTGAAAAATCTGTTTCAAGTCGAAAATGTACCTCCCAACAACAACAGCTAGGTCGCCTCTGATGGTTCCAGGTTCTGATTTCTGGGGATCAGTGGCTCCAATAAGTTTGCGACCATATTTTATTACACCCTCACCTTCCCAAACCTGTAGGGTAAAAAAAAAAAAAAAAAATTGAGTTCATCAAGTCATCAACCTCACAAGCTGTTACCAAACAAGGAGATGGAAGTTATCGTTCCTCTTACCATTGCAATAACAGGGCCAGAGGCAAGGAATTGGCACAGGCCATTAAAGAAAGGTCTTTCCTTGAGATCATGATAATGCTTCTCAGCAAATTCCTTTGAAGGTACCACTATCTTGATCGCCACAAGCTTAAATCCTTTGCGCTCAAAACGTGATATGATTTCTGCAATCTGGCATGCAAAGAAACTGCCTTAATTAGGGCAAAATTACCCCACCTCAATGAGAGAGAGATATATTTTAAAGAATAACATCAACATCTGACTCCATGCAAAACAGCAAAAAGGCAAACAGTGATTGCACAAACAGCTCTCTCTTAAAAAATAACATCAACAAGTCAAAATCTCACTCCATGCAAAGCAGCAAAAAGGCAACACCGAATGCACAAACGGGAATTAGGCTGAAGAGTGTAAGTAGAAGTGATTACCTTTTCTTTAGCAAATTTGGAAAAACATAAAAGAATAAAGGAAGAAAAAGAACATGAGAAACATTGAGCAAAAAACAATCTAGACAATCAATGACACTGGAAACAGCTACATGTAGAGAAAACCCAAAATCCATAGATTAACTGCCAACTTCATGATATGGGAAGCAGCAATTAGTGTAACACAAAAAAGTTTGAAGGTTAACTCACCAGCCCTCTTTGCACTCCATCAGGCTTGATAGCAATGAAAGTGCGCTCCATCTAAATAGAGAAAAAAAAACTGCATAAATATTTGACCAAACAAAATGACAGGAAATAGAAAAAAATTTGTCGATTGGGAAGAATATAGAATCAATGGTTAGCTAAAGTACCCCAGCAGCATGTGCCTCCTGCTCCTGAAGCATATAAGCTACAGCATAAAGAAAAAAAAGATGTCATGTAACAAAATAATGCACAATTTTGAAAAAAGAAAAAGAAAAAGAAAAGAGGAAAAGAAGCAAAAATGATCATGAGAAATTGAAAAAAGCTTCACGTGACAGGGACCACTAAGATTTGCAGATATGACAGAGGATTGGCTTCTGGAGTTGATTCTTTGAGAGAGGATAGCATAAAATAAAAAGGATATATCCATCTAAAATCCTCGTAAAACTAGAATTGCTGGAGGGATAGCTTTCAAATAACTCTCTCCACCTAGTTGTTTCAAATCCACCAACATAATGCTCTCATTCCCATTTTTTAATTTCATTAAAAAATTCCAAACCCAAGCTATAAAATCCTAAAGCAATTATTTGGACTTCAAGATCAAATCCATATGCACCACTTCCAAATCCATCCATCCAAAAGCAGTCTTAGAATCTTATATATGTAGTCGGTTTGTTTGTGAACATGATATTACTCATCCACAACTACTGTAAATATTCTACTCTGCCAAAAGAATTAAGAATGAGATTAAAGGTCATGAACTGTGATTAGAGCACGTGGATGTGACACAGTAAGCATGAGATTGGATCGGTACAGGAACTGTAATTAGACACTCAACAAAGCTTAGCATTTTGATGATTCAAATTCAATGTTGGGAGAAACAAAGAAAAGAGTTCTAGTCTTGAACCCCAAGAAAATTATTCATCCCATTACCACGCTTAAACGTGATAAAGTTTCTGTAGAAGAGGTCACGGATGCCACAATGCTAAATCTTGAACAAGGGACAAGGCTCCTCTTCCTTCTCACCCCAACTAAGAAATATTACATTTAAGGCAAATCATATTCTTTTTCTAACACTGAAGAAATTTAGGATGAATTAAAACCACCATGCAAAGTCAATAGAGAAATTGAACAGGTTATACAACAACGGAGGCCATGATTAGACCAAGAAATTCAAACCCAGAACGGATATCTCTTCCGTATAGATAGATAGATAGATAGATACATATATTCTACAGAAAACCTAATTCCTTTTTCTTTCTTTTTTTCTTGGGCAGGTAATATAAATCCCAAATGGGAAGTTGTATCTGTATCTCTAGCAGTCAAATATGCAAACACGTCTCAAGCTTAGAAACCACTATTACAATTCTTTTTCACCAAATTACTATTTTTTCAAATTAAACAACATGAACTACATCCACCGTCCTTCCATTTTAGATATCATGCCAAAAAATTTATGATTGCGCTGTGATGGATTTGGGAGAACACTCAGGAAAAAAAAAAAAATGATTTGGGAGAACAAAGTAGAGTAAAAAAATATATAATATATGACTTCTGCACTGAGATAACGAGACTGCACATAGAGAGTCTTATTATACTCGCCAAGTAAAAAGGAAACAACCAGTTAAATTTTCAAATCCTTATCAGCCGAGTTGAATCATCTTGTAGAAACTCAAATAGGAAATCAGACATGCAGCATCTTAAAAAAAAAAAAAAACAAGACAAGCGTGGGGAAACATAGTTTAAACCTGCTGCAGGAAGGGCAAGGAGTCCAGAAATCCATCCTCTAGATGCGTTCCCGGAATTGGCCCCCCCATATGAAGCTAAAGAGGGCACCTTTCCTCGGAGTGAAATGGCTGCCACTGCAGCTGCTGCTTTACCTTCTGCAATTGAGGACAACACAATACGGCAAAGAATCAATTATTGATGTACACATATCTGCATTTAAAACACATCGGCATTGTACTATAACCAGGGAAGTCAATATATGATAATACACAGCATGTAGAAATTGGAATGACGGTACAAGAAAGGATATATCAATCAAATTTACCCACATGGAATAGCTACACAAGATGTGGCTATCAACTTATTGGGATTCATATTAAAAAAGTATTTGAGCATCATAAATAAAATCTGCAATAATTAGCAAAAGAAACCCAGAACTAGGATTTTAGATACAAAGATTCAATCGTACAGAGCTAAACCAGAGGACCAGAATCTCTTTGGTAAAAGATTGATGAGACAAGAGCTAAACTGAGAACACAATGTAACATGTGTTGGCAATCTTCAGATGATCAAGAAGGAATTATAGGATCTAAAAAACCAAACGTTTTGTACATATTTTCTTTTATTTTATACAACCGCAATTATGAAAAAAAAAAAAAAAAAAAAAAAAAAACATAATTTTTCGAAATTGGTTGATTCACAGATCGACAATCACAGTCCAAAAATACTGGAATAGACGTACATAATCAATCGCGTAAAGTGTATAACAATGAACGAACAATTGGATAGAAATGTAAGAGAGAGACTTAGAAATTTACCGGCCAAAACATGAGAGCTGCGTTTTGAAGCAGTGATTAGAGACCTCGCAGCTTTCGAAGCAGATCTGCAAAGCTGAGAGCTCATCTTTGAGAGTCACAACCACTCAACCAGAGAGAGCTATCCTTTTGGAGGGAGAGAGAAAGCTGAAGTGTGGATTGTAAAAGTGAGGTTAGTGAGGAGTAAGAAAGCTGATTCCAAGAGTAGATAACAACTTTGTGAGTGTCACCGATATTGGAAAAAAGAAATGTACATGTGAGTTGGGAGAGATTACATTAAGTTGGGGTATTTGGTCAAACCCTAGCCGCACCGTTGGGAGGAGAGAGAAAATGATAATGTGTGTGATCTGACTTGTCAAACCACCCATCTAACAATCGTTAAATATCCCAAATATGAGCACGAGTATGATTTTGACAATGATGTTTACCTTTTGCTGATGGCTAATTAACAATCATATATATAAACTCGATTACACAAATCAACCACACTTTTCACGTAATCTTATTTTTTTACTTTTAATCTTTCTTCTTCATTATTTGGTTAAAAGCAAAACTTTCTGCATTATTTTCTTTTGTTAGTTTTTCACACCTTTTAGTTTCAAAACTTAATTTTAAATGTTTTTAGTAAAACAAAAATATATCCTTTTAGGGCTAAAGTTTTTGACACCATATAAATAAATAAATATTGACACAACTAAAATTTGGTTAATTAATTATAAAGATTGTCTCAAAGTAAAAGTAAACTTAACTTAACCATGTTGATCAAACCTTGAGTTTACTCTCTCTAATGGTCACTAGTTCGAGACTTCGCAGGACAACTGTAAGCTTACTCGACTTTTTAACCATTATTTTTGGATAAGTACAATCAATTTTTTTTTTAACAGTTCAATATATATATTTAATAGAACACCAAACATAACCTTATTACATGTGCATTAATAAATATGCCATTCAATGTATATTTATATATATACAGAGTATATATTTTGTTAACAGTTCAATATATATTTAATAGGAGTAACACCAAACATAACCTCACATTCACACTTTTCGTTAAGATCCAGCCAAGAGCATAAGAAAGCATTCCCTCATTGAATCATTTTGCTATATACTGAAAAATATAACTTTGAGTAATGTTTTTGTCAGCTATACACAAAACTTTTGAATATTTGATCATTAAAAATGATATTTGTACCCTAAATTTTTTTTGACATTCCTATTTATTTGGATACCGTTTAAGTTTTACTCATTTAAAAATTCAAATCCTTACCATTCATTTCGAGGAGTAACGGAGATATTATTGGGACAGGCCCTTGGTTGGATATAATTTAGGTTGATGGATTTGGAAGAATTGGAGTGTATAGGAAGGAAAGAATTGGAGTGTATAGAAAAGAAAGAATAGTGATTTTTGTGTTTGAGTTAACATTAAGGGGAGAAAAAAATAAAAAAAATAAGAGAGATTTGAAGGAATGGCTTATGTAACGATTTTTATCTTACTCAGACGCAATATTGTCAGTTTTTGCCTTCCTCACACCATAAACTCTATGGTGGGTCATCCATCTTGGTACTACTCCAAGTTAAGTAGGCTTACTTCTGGAGTTTTAATGGATTCACGATCATCACGGCTTTTAAGCGCATTGTGTCATAGAAGAATATTGAGCCTTACATATAGTACGTCACCTTCCCCAGACGATGTGAGATCATGACACCTTGTATCCTATCAATGCTCGCGTTACATCACACCCACCCACAGAGGTCGTCACAGCTTATCCCTCCAAATTATTCACTTGTTACCCTTTAAAAAATAATAAGAAGTTTGAAAAGAAATGATAGAAAAATTAAGTAGTATCTTCATAATGTAAAAAATATACTCAATAATTACAAAACCAAAAAAAAAAAAAAAAAAAACCCCTTATTATGACATTTGAGTCCCGTCTTATAAAATGGTATTGATAGTAATTTAATTGTTATTATTTATTTTATTTTCTTTTGCATTTTCCAAATAAAAATACTATAATGTTGCGGTTGGTATATATGAAAGGAATGCAGTGCAATGCAAGTGGGAATGGAATGATCATTATCATTCTATTGTTTAGTTGCAAATATAAAATGACATATGAATGGAATGATAATAACCATTCCGATGCTTGGTTGGATCAATTTAAAGCCAATAATTGAGTGAATTTTAAATTGAATTCTCCAAAATACCCATTTCAGTGCCAAATAATTTAAATGAACAAAATAACATTTTTCTTTAATTTTGTAAAAAAAAAAAAAAAAATTGGGGTGACAATGGATGGCAAAAACGATGATGGTGAAAGTGGAAGGCAACATTGGTGTAGGTGGTAGTGTTGGAAGACAGCGGTAGTAATGGTGGAAGAAGCCGGTGGCAATAGAAGTGGCGGTGGTGGAAGGTTGGGAAGTGGTGGCGATTGTGTATGTGGAAGGCAGCAGCAGTAGTGGCAATACTGGTAATGGTGGTGGTGACAATGATGATGGTGTAAGGTAGTGAAGGTGGTGGAAGGCAACAGAGGTAGAGGTGGTGGTTGAAGGCGGCTTTGGTGGCATGATAGTGGTGGAAGGTGGTTAGGGTGGCGGTGGTAGAAATTGATGGTGGTGGTAGTCACAACGACGACGATAGTGGTGGCTATGGCAGTCACGGTGGAAAAGGTGACAGTGATAGAAGGTAGTGGTGGTGGGTTTTAGACTTAGAACATGAGAGTTTTTGGGAACTTAATTTTTTTTAAAAATAATAATTTGGGAATAGATTGATCATTTCATAGGTTTAATTGGAGAATAAATTTGGCATCTTTCAACACAATTTTCTTTTTGGACCAATAATGTGGACAAAAAAGAATGTATTCATTTATTATTAATTTACATTAGCGATGATAATGGAGTACATCTACACCATTGAGAACCTAAATATTTAAACTCATATCATATTCATTCATTTCAAATCTATTTATTTATCCAAAATGTACAGGTAGTTTTGTTGCAATAATAAGACAACTTTGATAGGCAAAAGAGTCATTTTACATTTAGGCTCAATTTGTTTGGATGTAAAATATCTTTTAGAAAAAATATTTTTATTTCCTAGTGTTGGTTGTCGTAAAATATTTATGATGAAAAAAAAAAAAATTTAACTAAAATAACTTATTCATTAATTTTCGACTAAAATAACTTATTCATTAATTTTCGACAAGTTATTTTATATGCTCCGCCTAATGAACTCGATCGATCTAGACTTTTACAAAATACCAAAATATAAAAATATAAATATAAATTTTACCTAAAATATAAAAATATTTTATACCGAAACAGAAGGAGGCCTCACTTCAATCCCTTTTATTTTTATATTCATTAAAATGGAATCAAACTACATACAATGATACAAAAGAAGAAAAGCCTGCTAGGCTGCTCCCTTCTATTGGGCCTTTTGTGCAAGTGAAGGTAATTTGATACAGAGTACATCATTCGATGCCTTTGCTAAAGAAAAGAAAAAGCAAAGCAATAGAGAGACCCTTTTTCCAACACATGCACTCTAAGGCAAGACAAAGTTAATACTTATTCCATTTTTATGTTTATAACTCATTTGATGGCCTACTATTATGGAAGCATTGCATTGCACGTGAAACGCGAGAGACAATTATTGATTGGTGCTCTTTATTTTGTTTTTATTCAATTATTATCACTTCTCCTATGATTTCAAAGCTCCAGTGAAAACCAAAATTGGATACACAGTTATGTTCCTTCCTAACATTCTGCGATGATCTAAATATGAAGAACAATGACTTCTTGAGATGAAAATTGTTTAAATTTCAATATTACCATTATTTATTATTGAAATTTGTTATATTATTTTGAAATATTTTAGTAATATTACACCAACTGTTGTCTCCGACATCAATGACAAAAGTGGTCTGAAAAAATTTTGGAACCACGAAAAAAGATTCTCATGTAATTTTTGCCACTCACAAGGGGTCAGTCAAATTTACACTCATTATCATTTTGAATAAAAGATTACATGGTGCGCTAATGTACTTGAGGCCAGCAATTTCGAGGAACCATCCTAGAAGTTAGTACAATTTACCCTCATTTATTATTTATTGCTATCAATATATCACCAAGGTATTCAGTGTATCCAGTGCACCAAAAACATCAAAGTCATTTGTGCACAACATGCGCGAAAATAAACGACTCTGATGACCCAGTGCACAGGACACACAGAATACTTCTTAGGATGCATCAGCTAAAGACCTACTTTAATACATATTATAAGTGATTGGTCATACTATTGGACCTTACTATTTACTTTAAAAAAAAAAAAAAAAAAATTAATTTTCCATGATGTCTAGGTATTTTGACACAAAGATACCCCTCCCCAAAAACTCTTCATTTCTCTTAAATTAGGCCAGCAATATCGAAGAACCTTCCTAAAAAATCTGGCAACATCATTTTCATCACCTCAAAAATCAAATAACAACAATATTTTTTCATCTGAGCAACTCAAGCTAGTGTGTAATGCCAGATCACTAGTCTAGAGCCATTACCAAGTTTGGAATGCGATCTGCAGAGATGCCAAGCACTCTCAAAAGTCGGGATGAACAATTTGGTCAGAAATTGCGCCAAAAAATGATTGAGGGCAGGAGTTTAAATGGTCAAGAACTCGGTCTTTGAACAGTTTTTCAACTTGGAGAGGGTATCAGGCACCCTGAGCCAACCCGACCTATATCAATATTGATGATGATCATTATTCGTATTGAAATAGCAGGAACCCAAACCTAACTTGATCAACCCGACCCTAACCCACGTTAGGACACATTAAGCAAAAAGGTATGGAGGCACAAATTTTATAATGGGTACTTACTGTAGGAGAATCAACAATGGTTCAAAAGCGAATTATAAAGTAGAAGAATAGATGAAAATATCAATTTAGAGGTTCAACAAATACAAGGTTGATGAACTCCTGTGTTAATAATATATCTGAATTATAATTCCTATGGAAATCAGTAATACAACAATGTTTTTTATTAAGCTACAAAGAGCCATGTTATGTACACAAATACAACGTATGAATTTCATACAAGTTAAACAACGGCATCACTTCAATTCTAGGACCTATTTACGACGTCTCACTTGAATCATTGAGAGCTGTTTTATCAGGTCTCAATTCGCAATCAGTTTGCAGAGCCATCAACCAAGAGTCCGCCTGAGAAAAGAAGCATATGATACGCAACCGTACAAGTCAAACGTTTATGCAAAAATTTCAAAGTTCAAGAACAAAAAAAGATGAGCTATCTAAAAATTTACAGTGAACTCAATATATAAACACACACACACACACAAATATATATATATATAGAGAGAGAGACAGAGACAGAGACAGAGAGTTCAGTGACATGATAACCAATTATGAGATTGTTCTGTAATATGTAAATTAGAACTTGCCAACCATCAACATGTAGAAAAAAATAATTTAGAGTAATTATTCTCCTCTTGAGACATAGATAACCATTCACAAATTGCAGATTCAACCATAATTTCAACAATCAGAATTCAACAATGCCTTCCCTCCACCCAAATCTACAATAAACTAAATCTTCCAGATTGCCACACAATCTTTGTAAATTCAGTTGTTCATTCTAGCAAAATGGGCTCTTAATTTATGCAACTAAGCGATGCTACAAGGACTCTGGTATGCAGTTAGGTACAGGTGTGTCTCTAGGGAGTCGGACCTCCCTGAAACCCAAATCTTAGGACATGGGGACTTGACTTGAAGAGTGTCCAAAATTTACATATGGGTACGTGGACAAGTCCTGCACATTTAAATACATTAAAAAATATATATACTCAACTGAAATTCAGATCAGATGGGAGGTGGTGAAAAGGGGGATCTCCATCAATATATGAAGTAGGAACCTTTCTCTTCTATCAAGTTGGAGTCTTTTCATCCTTTTTATCATCACATGATGATGTGGAGGATCGTTGATTGAGATGTCAGTCTCAGTGTCAGAAACATTTCCCAACCCAATACCCATATCATGTTATGTAGACATAAGTATGTTGAGGTGAATAGTGAAGTCCACGTAATACAGTAACCAAGAGCAGCTTGAGTAAATCAAATGGCTAATAAGATACCATTCGAAACTCGATGATCTATGCTTCAAAACTTATAATGCTACCTAAGTAAACAATTCATATCAGGTTTAAAGCAGGGATCATACTTTTTTAGTTTACAGCTACAGAACCGCTTCCATATACTGGTCAAGCATTTATATATAATCTTTCATTATTTGCTCTAAGAAAAATGACCAATTACCGGACATACCTGCATTTTTGAAACACTTGAGCACTCATACCGTAGTCCATGACGAGTTAAAATATAGAAGGAATATCGTGTATCATCATCTTCAGGCGTAAAGCTTGGGAGAGGACCTACTTCAGTTACATCAGATAGTAGAGTCGAGTCCTGAGGACTCAAATCTGCAAATAGTTTCCTAACTCCATCAGGAATCAATTTTAGCTGTTTAAATTGAATGTTTCCACATGCAAAAGAAGAAATGTCCATATTACTAGAGTAACATAAATTTGGTACGTAGTACACATGAGACTCAAACAGATACATTGAATTCTCATGCACGGATTACCACTTTACCAAGAATCAGTGCGATTCAACAATCCTGAAAATCTGGTACGAGTAAACTCTAATTGGAAAAAGGAACACAAAATTCTTGTTAAAACTATCACCACCATAACTGGCACATCTAAGAAAGGAAAATTTAAATTGTTATATAAATCTTGAATATGCTTATATAAGCAAGTATACCATCTATAACACATTCAATAGGGCCCATTAAAATCATAAGCTTGTGCTAATGCAACATCAAACCATTCCCAGGTTCCTAGCTCGGTATCAGCTACTCTCTTCATGCAGTAAAGGTGGAAAGACACAATTGCTTCAACTAGGATAGATAATCCAGTTTTGATGGCAGCCCTGATTAATAATAATATATGGTTTTTGTGGCCTAAAGTTCCTAACCCTTCACAACAATAGTACATTGTACGAAACTCAGTCAAACATAGAAAGTGTGATACAACCTACCTAATTGTTATGTACAAATTACAATTGTAAAAAAATAAAATAAAAATAAAGACAGAAAGAAAGGAGTACCGAAAGATGCTGGCAGGCTAAGATTTCCAAGAATCAATCACCTGTAGACAGCAGATAGAAGAAGATACATGGCCCATTAAGGACAACAAATCGTGGAAGCCAGTCATCAACATCAACATCATCAATAGGAGGAGGTTCTCCGGGTAATGCTGCCCATCTCTATCAAAGGAAAAAATATAAGAAAATGTCAATGAAATTTATAACATGCACATGTCTATAAAAACTAGAATAAAGTTGAAACTGAAGAGATGGAAATAGTACACTCCGAATGTATAAATAGCCAGACAGACGAGCATATCGCAAAATTTCATCAATGTGTTCCAACCTGTATGGAATAGAAGAATCTCAGTACAAATACAGAGGAACAGAAATATGTTTAGAGACTGCAATATTATATAGTCAACAACACAACAAGTACGAAAGAAGATGATCTTTAGAATAAAATGTAAAAACACAATGTAGGTATGAGTGTTTTCTCTATAGTTGTTTTCTTTTTCAAAGAGAGATAGCACACAGTTAATTAGCTACATTCATACATCCCATCAAGTTTAATCGCCCTTGGTCTCAACAAAGGAGTACAACAAACTCCTGATTTTATTATAGATAAGTGAAACCAAAACCTCCACCAACTAGCACCACATTAATAATAACCTCCTGATTTTATTATTATGTCAACAATTAACAATTCAGATGCTAACTTAACTCCATCTGTTACGTTGCTTGAGAATTTATAACATGATTGATGCACCAGGGCACCACGATATCTAAATGCAAATTTTATAAAACATAAATATAACATAGAAAGACAGAAATGAAGTCCACAACGCAAAAAGGCATATCTTCAAACTTTAGCATCAAGTTTCCCTTACTGAGCTTTCAAATGAGCTTCTCTTTCTTCTAAATGAGCAAGTTCTGATCGAAGGGATTCTACTTCTGCAGCAGTTAGCACAACCTGCCAATCAAAATTAAGGTTTCCATGAAAATGGAATTTTCACGAACACCGATTGATAAGCTAAATGAAAGTATCAGATCAACCTTTTCCTCATTATCAGTACCAGATCCCCATGGCAGCCCTGGTAGACTAAACAATTTCAACATTGCCGCAGCACCACTTAGTTTCCCTTGAGCCCACAAACGGAAGTCGAACCTATCTTAAAAGAAAAATAAGGAAACTAGACTGAAATTCAACTAAAATGTTCTCAGTTCCATTCTTTTCTTAATCATTATCATAGTTTTTCATCAAGAAAAAATACGTGGAACAAGTTTCAGTTCTTTGATGTGAAATAGAGGAAGTTCTATTTGGAAGAGAGTCCAGAGACTATGTCGAAGCTCGAAATGTGATCTGGGATATATTCCTAAGACCATCATCCATGAAGTCTAACTTTTACTTCTTTAAGAAGGCACAAACCTAAGGTCATAAATAAAATTGAAAATGAGATGTTATAGAAAAATCAACTTTCATACATTAATAAACCTCCAGTTCAGAATGATCTTACCTCCAAAGACCTAACCCAAGTGGCATCTCCTCTTCATGGGAAGTGAAGGGTTCAAGTCCCCATTAGGAAAATAGAGGGTGTGTGAGGCTTACCTATCAAAAAAGGGGTGGGGGAGGTTCAGCATGGTCACAGCTTGCTAGAAACACACACTAATGGTGGCCGAGTGCAGTCCCAAGAGATATGCGGAGGACAGCCTCCCTATGCTTGTGGTGGGCTCTGGAAGGAGAGAAATAGGAGATCCTTTGAATGGGGTAAAGGCTCCTTGGGGGGGTGTTTAGATATTCTGTTCTTAGTTTCCTATTCTATGGATTTAGGGTTCCAATTGTAAATTCATGGAGGTTCTTTCGCCTTTTGTGGATATCTTAAAGCTATAGTTTTTGTGCAATTGTTCTGGGTTGCCTCCCCCTTTTGGGCGCTCTTCTATTAAAACTTACTTATCAAAAAAAGAAAAAAAAAAAAAAAAAGAATATAGTATAAGATACTTTCCTATTATCATATAAACAATATTGTCTACATTACTAGATTAAAGGTTAATTTTGTAGAGGATGGCAATTTAAAAATCAGTACCCAATACACAAACCTTCAAAATTGAACATAATGAAAGGTCTCCAAAAAATTGTTGGCACCTGGTATTCTACTAAAGCAACACACTACATAACTCATTATCTAATTGCTGCATTTTGACCCCAAGATGCAATGTGGCACAATATGTGCATGGAATCTCTAGAATCAACTCCTACAAAGTGCCAATAAGTCATCTCCAAGCCTCTATCCAAAGGAGGCACAAGAAGTAATAGTCTATATCACAAAGAAAATTATTTTTCGGAGTTTGTAATTTAGTTCAAAACAAAAGTGTGCGTTATTATTATTTTTTTTCATTTACTTATTTTGTGAAAGTTAGTTCGTTAGTTGAGTTACCTCAAACCAAAGGAAAACATGGAGATTTCAGTTATTCAATAAGGTTAAGATGGTAAATTTTAACTATCAAATTGTGCACTCACCAAATTAGGGTTTCATTTTCATGAATTCTCATTATCATTCATGTTTAGGGTTCATAACAAACATGTCTGTATCCTAGAAAGAAGTTTTGAATGCATAAATTTTGTTTTTGACTTGAAATTTTTAAAAATCCAAGTTGCAGGAAGTTCAATCGATTGAAAGTTCTAAAAAGTACAAAAAGGGAATTAAACACTTCAAACCCTAATCCTTCCAGTCTCAAAACTCTACAAAAAACATTTTCAGAAATATACACCAATACATATAGTAGCGTGTATCAAACATTGAAAAGCATATAACGTGCATTTTAGAAATTAATTGCTAGAGTTCATGTTTTTCCATTCATCAACATAGCATCTAAATGGTGAGTGTTTGTACTTAGTGTTGATCTTCTACAATCCAAGTGAATCAAGGAAGTTCAACACAAACAATCCACATAATCTACAAGCTTGGACGACTAATATAGGAAATCACTCAGCGAATCACGTAAGGAGCTAAATCCAGTAGTTCCCATTGAATAAAAAGTCCCAATAACAATTTTTTTTTTTAATTTTATATATATATATATATATATATATATATATATATATATATTTTGAAACAATAACAAAGTTAGGATGCAATGAAATTATAATTTGGAGGAACTTCTATCTCAATACGAGTGTAGACGGTAGATATCTAACAATATATATCATAAATAGATAGACAGCCTTATGATTTCCATCCAATCTCTATATACAATTTTAATTCTTAAAAAAAATAATAATAATAAAATCAAGAAACTAAAAATATGATATGCGAGTGAGGTAAAAAAAAAAAAAAAAAAGCATGAGCGATTAGCAAAATACAACATACAAAAAGCAGATTATATTAACTGAATAGAAATTAGAGAGACAAAGAAGAAGAGGGTTTGTACCTTTTAATTTACTTCTTTCTTCTTTTTTCCTCCACGGAAGTTGGAAGAGGAGCTAATGCGTATTCATTGTCATCTCGGAAAAGTTTTGACCCTGTGACTGCAATCATACGACTGTTCGGTAATGGGTGACCGGAGTGATTTCATCATGTAATAAGACTTTTTTAACCCTTACAATAAATGTATTGTTACGGGTTAAGTTATGCCACACAAATCCAAGAGTTGAAGCCGACCAAAGAATATGAATATAAATAAAGCGACTAATTAATCAAGTAACAAAGTCATTGCCCATTGATTTCCTTATATTCCACTTATTTGACTAATTGGTTGTAAATTATTACAGTTTGAAAAAATAAATTTTTAAAAATAAACTTTTCAATAATTACTTTTCTCATGATAATTAGGTGACTTATCGAGGTGAGTTTTTGTAATGATGATAAATTTGACACTTTACTAACATGATTTGACGTCCAAAATTTATTCACTCACAACGCTTATATTTCAGTTTTCTGTTGGTAGGATTGCTAAGTATAAAATTGAATAATAAAATAAATTTAATTTGATAATAAATAAATAATAAGAGGTTATATTTGTGTTAATTTATCTTATTGATTCACTAAAAAAAAAAAAAATGATTAGCAACACATTAAATTTAATATATGATAAGATTGAAGTATGTTGACAGAAAAGAGCTTATTTATAGGCATTATTTAAAATTTTAAACAACACAGTAGAAGTTAATAAAATAAATATATAAAAAATCTTTAGAAGAATACTTAAAGAACTCTTAAATATTTGATTAAAAAGTGATTAAGAACATCTCATGAAAAGTGCATTTTGTACAAATACACATCCGGAATGAAATAATTTTTATCCAGTAAAATAAAATCAGATTGATATAAGAATCATTAAATTTAACGCTTTATAGAGACATAAAAAATATGGGTTAAAATTGAGTAGGATTGAAGAACAATTTTTGTATGCATTTTTATAAAACCTATACAGCATGGATATATATATTTTTCTTCTTTCCTATGTACTTTATTTTGTAACATTAAATTTAATATATGATAAGATTGAAGTAACACATTAAATTTAATATATGATAAGATTGAAGTATGTTGACAGAAAAGAGCTTATTTATAGGCATTATTTAAAATTTTAAACAACACAGTAGAAGTTAATAAAATAAATATATAAAAAATCTTTAGAAGAATACTTAAAGAACTCTTAAATATTTGATTAAAAAGTGATTAAGAACATCTCATGAAAAGTGCATTTTATACAAATACACATCCGGAATGAAATAATTTTTATCCAGTAAAATAAAATCAGATTGATATAAGAATCATTAAATTTAACGCTTTATAGAGACATATAAAAAATATGGGTTAAAATTGAGTAGGATTGAAGAACAATTTTTGTATGCATTTTTATAAAACCTATACAGCATGGATATATATATTTTTCTTCTTTCCTATGTACTTTATTTTGTAACATTGCACCAGTTCAATAATAAGAAGTAAAACTTGCTTAATGCAGAAACAGAATCAACGAGCAGTGGAAAAGTAAATTCACTATAATACATGCACGTGGTCTGCCTCTTTACTCCTGCAAATATCATTTTCCTTCAATTTTTTTATTTTTTTTATTTTCAAGTCTTGTCTTCTTGGCCTTGCAAATGGGATTAACACGTGGCATAACGATTGTTCATCATAATAAATAAATAAAAATACGTTTATATTTGGAGAATGAGTGAGACACCTCTATTAAAAATTTAAGAAGATTATTATGTAAATCGAGTCAAATTTTGCATCCATATTTAGACAATGGCAGACTTTTTGAAAGGAAAACACCACCTCACGAAATAAGTTGGTTATTGGAACAAAGAAAAAGAATCAATTCGTCTCGAGTCTTTAATCTCAAGGATCAGATATTAACTTTAACTATAAAAATAAAATAAAATAAAAAAGATCAGATAATTTCATTAATTTCACTAATTTATGTCACTTAAAAAGATATTAATTTTCAATTCCCTATCGTGCACGCTCGTGGGAGTTTCGGCCTCCTCCAATTATTTTCGTAAAGAATAATGTTATCCTATAATGTAGTCAACACGACTTAAAGCACTAATACGACCTTTACTTTTAAATATGTTTTTTAAGTGATAAATAATGGGGATCAACTTAAATATCATTTTCAAGCATATATATAATATGCATGTTTCGGTGATACAGTACAACAATAATAATAGGAACGTTCCACGCAAAGTGTAGAAAGTATGGAATGAAATTCCATCCACATGATCAAACAACAGATAAACAGGGTTCATGGTGGTCAGTTCAATTTGTAGTAACCAGACAAACAAAATTGATGTTGATATCTAATTAATTACTCCGTGTAACGTGGCTTGCCAAACCAAAAAATACATTATACCCCATGGTGCTCATATTCATATAAATCACACAAATAGTAAACCGACATATTCCTCTCTTTTTTAATTATTAGCATACTCCATTGTATCTTTTATTTATTGGTTTGTTTTTTTTTCCCTAACAATTTTTCTCTCCGCCTTTAAAGTTTCCTGTGAGATCCTTATCTTTTGTTTTATTGGTAATAAAAATATATATATATATTTAGCAAAATAGGCACACCCACAAACACAAACATACAAATAAATTTGTATTATTATTATTATTTAAACTAATTAAATTAACAAACGACACGAGCCATAAGCTATTACGAAGAAAAAAATAATATGCCTCGAATCATATTAATTAAAGCTCCAAACATAAAATATATATATATTTTTTAAATAAATTTTTTTTTTTAAATTTTAATATTTCGGTATTTAGTAAATCCATCGGGCAAGACATATAAAATAACTTACACCAAACAACAAATATATATATATATATATATATATATATATATTTTGTAAAATGTTTTACATCTTTGCCAAAAGTTGGTAGGTAGGGATGGTAGGGTAGGGTAAGTGTAGTGCCCATTTTGACGTGGAAGTTGGCACTCAAGACGACCAACAATGAATTGAACAATATAATGCTGCTACCTCTTTTCTGAATGCAACTGCAATTGAAGGCTATGTGGATGGCCACTAATAAAATCAACTATTTTAATCAAACCTTTTTCTTTTTCTTTTTCTTTTTTTTTTTTTTTTAATGTTCCCCATCGAGACTTTAATCTTTTACCCTGTCTTTTAACATTTTCTCAAATTTTCCTCACAAAAGTTAATATTAAAGATCACCAAAATCCATATTTAAAACCATAATTTCAGGGGGCTAAAAAATGAAAAAACTATTCTGATGCAATTTGGTCTATAATTTTATGATTTAACGCCATATGAAAGTTGAACTTGCAGACGCTGGCGAGCGTGCTCAATTCCTATGAAAATCTAATTGTTAATTATAAGATAAAGTTGAAAAATAAACTCACCAACTAGCCAAGATGGTGGAGTCATCACTACAGGGAAATCCATCTGTCAATCCCTCTGCAAAATAGTCTTATATCAAATTTCCCAAACAGCTTAAAGATGCAACAATTTGAGCATTATGAACTAAAATGATTCACAAACATTTGCAAGGCTTCATAAAATACCTGATACTCCACACAAAACCTCAGCCACAGCAGACAGAAACCATCATGCCGATCAAGTTTTCCCAAAAGACGAAAAAAATGATTTTCGTAATTGAAGGATTTGTTAGATCTCTATTCCAGGAGATCATGATTGGGAATTTCCTTCCTTGGAACAGAAATCCACATAAAGATGGATGAAGAAAATGAAATTTTATTGATGAACTAAGATGAGCAGCAAGCACAGAACATATGAATGAAAGCATGATCTATAACAGCAATTCAAAAACTCATGAAGAAATATATTGTCTTAATGTGTACTTTCAGGAGAATGATGTATCCGGCTTAAATTTACTAACCCAGACTCGATTGACTCTGGCATCACAACCTCACATGCCTCAGAAGACATACCAGAAAAAAGGAATGCACCACACATGGTATCAACCAACTTCTGTTCCTCACTATTATTAGCACAATGATTGCCTATGGAGTCGCTCCCACAGTCCACATCGTCAACCTTGCAAGGTGAGTGAACATCACACTCAACATTTTCCAGAGGCGAAGATTTGTCCTCCAGAATCTTCTCCGAGGCTTCCTGAATGCAAACAGGATCAACCACCGTTTCCACCTCGTTTGAAGTTGAAAATGGCTCCTCTGATTTCTTCAAACTGTTCAGATCATCTGGTTCATCTTCTGCCTTCTTGGTTGTTACGGGAGACACTTCTAGCTTTTCAGAAGTATTTGGAAGCTCTGCTTTCTCCTGATTAGGTTCTGAGACTGCATCATCTGCCTCTTGCTGATCACAAGCCGGATCCAGCTCCCCTGGTTCATCATCGTTTGAACCATCTTTTGGCACCACATAAAGAAAAGGCACTCTCTCCCCATTAATAGCCTTGATTTCTTCTCTCTGCTTCTTGTAAAGGGACATGGCTTTCTGCAAGTTAACCATAATATCAGTAAGATACTTCACATTCACTAAACCTGCAAATATCCTGGTCAGTACAATCTTTGCAATTCCAAATCATCAATTCATAAGATTTGTTACACTTTACAAATGATGAAAATAAAGCACATAACTCCACAACATAGAGAGAGAGAGAGGCTTTTAAACAGATGAAGTGAGATCCAGAACTATTAGTTCTCTCAAAAGTCATAAAATATTCAAGTGATAAATTTGAAAAGAAGAGGGTAAAAAAGAGGACCAAATGGTCATATTGGAACACCCAACCTAGCAGTGATGATTGGCAATCTAAATCCTTTTTCTAGACAAGCAAGCTTTATTCACGGACAGGAAGAGCAACAGAAGTACATAAACAATGCACCACCCACATGGGTAACTCGAAGGAAAGAAGGGCAAATCAAAGCAACAAATAACAAAGAGGGTAGCCCAAACTTTGATTTGCATGAATACTTATGCTTAAACTTTTTGACCTATAAGAGGAGAAAATAAAACTCAGGGCATGACTACTTATGCTTCAACTTTTTGACCTATAAGAGGGGGAAAACCCCCTATAGGCTATATAGCTAAACAGACTTATCCATTCTTGAACAAAAATGTTCACCGTTGAAGATATTCAATCAAATTCTTGAGTAAGACCATTGGGAAACCTAGGACCATTACCAAGAACGCAATTTGGCCACGGGTGAGGTGAGGACACTTGCAATCAAGAAAACTTGGAAAATCTAAATAAATAATAAATAAATAAAACAGATAATTTTTACTTGATCAAAGCATATAATTCCCTACCAAAAACAAATGTATTACTCCATCCGACACATATTATGTGCCCATCTTTTTTCAGATATATATCCCAAAAGGTGAATGCATTATCTACACATCTCAAAAAGGTAGAACCCTAAGATGAACAAATATTAAGGGACGGATGAAGTATCGGTCTAAATGATAAGAATGTAGTAACTACCAGTGTTGGAGCCACATTATGTTTCCCAGTGGGGGCAATTGTCCCCACTGAAATTTTATGTTATTCTTTATTTTTTATACAAATTTTTAATAATTATAAAAATGCCCCAATAGAATCTCTAATAAATTCACAAAAGACCTTAAAAAAACTTTTAAAATTGAAAAGACTCCTCATTTCTAATTCATTGGCCCAACATGATTTTCAAAATTCATAAAAATAAAAATAAAAACCAGTCTTTTCTTTTCCAGTGGATCCCACAAAATTTTTAAGAATTAAAATTTAGAAACGACTCTTATTTTGCTATTTATTATTTTGGTTCAAAATTTCTGATCATATTATTGTAAATGGTTGCCCTCCCACCAATATAATTCCTAGCTCCGCCACTGAACTACTACAGCCTAAAGAACATAAGTATAAACATTATAACGAAAATGCAGTGAATATTATGTGTAAAATAACCGTAAAAGATGGCAATATATAAATTTTTTTTTTCTTTTATTTGTAAATTATATATTCACTTCCCAGCATGCATTACCTGAAAAATGGAATCATTTATGGCAGCAAAAGGAGAGGCGTTTAATGTTGTTCTGAAATTCATCACTTTAGCTTCCATAGCCTCCTGTCAAACAAAAAAGAACGGGTTTTATTAGAACTAAATGATTGATATAATTAGAAGTAATAAATAAATAAATAAATAAAAATAAAAATAAAAACTGTCTGGGAAGGCCATGAACAAACTCAATAAGAATAAAGCTGATTGGTTTCCCGTTGGCCTATCTTTGGTACGGGTATCCACATACAAAATAAGTCCCAAGAAAAAGGAAAAACAAAAAAAACAAAGGCCATTCACAGATCAATTCATTATTGGTTTCTCATAAGAGGGGTATAAAAAATGAGGCAACCCTCATCTACACTTCTCTATATTCCCAAACAGCCCCATATTTGAAAATGTGGTCACAAAGTTTACCTCTGTATATGGAATCTTGGAATCATTTTCACCAGAATTAGTTTTCTGATGCATATCCACTAAGCTAGTGCACTGCTTATACAACTCAGGTTGAGTAAGATCTGCTGATATGTCAAGCTTGGAAAGATAAGCATGCCAAAGAAAATCATCATCCTTTCTTGATGGCTTGGAACTGCTAGGTTTATCCTCCTGAAGTGTTTTGGGAGCTTTAAGTGTGTTTGTAGCAACTGCACCACTGGACTTATTGATATCAATGTTCTCTGCCTCTAGACACGGCTGCTTTTGTTCATTCTGAGCTCGCTCCCCTGACTGGCCAATCCAAACTTCATCTGCTGGCCCATGGGCTGAATAATCCTGTTTCTGGGGATCAGCTGGCAACTCTGTGCTCACACCACTATTTTGCCCCTTCCACATTTCTCCACCTGTCTCCCAACCCCGACCACTCATCGGGAATCTATTATGGTCCCAATCTGGCCTTCCAAATAAGTGAGATTCTTCCCCAAATACAGAATTATTAGCATCCCAACCATGTAAGGGAGGAGGGCAGGAGTCATCCACTGGATTCCGCCAAAATGTCCGCCCATGGCCAGAAAATCTATCAGCATCAGGAATATGGTAAGGAACCCCAGTGTGATTTATTTCCATTGAAGGTCTAACGCCGAACATCTGTGGAGCAGGAAATTGCTGCATCACTGGATGAAATCCTACAGGCGGTGGACCATGTGGGAAAGGTAGGAAGCCGTTTGCCATGGGGGAAGGCCAGTTTTGGACACCTTTCCAAGTATTTCCTTGTGCTCTTCCAATGCTAGAATCGCCAACCCTCCTATGGCGGTTTATTGACTTCCCTCTATTGTCATCTTCCATAGAAAATGCCAAATGATTGTCAACCCCTGTCCTGAAGGGAGGAGGAGGAGGAGGTAGAAGAGACTTGGAATTGCTAGGGAAACGACTAGTTCTACTGAAAGGTGAAGAAACAGATAAAGTGTCCCCATCTGCTTGGGATAGTTCATCCACTGGAAGTGTATCCATAGGCAACTCACGACTTCCTCTCCCTTCCTTATCAGAATAATCCTTTGTATCCCTAGAACCACCACTCCTCTGCCCTGATTCTTCAATATCAAGACTTCGCCGGATGTCCGATTTGGTCAAGTGTCTGCGATCAGTACTCGATGATGATGGGGATTTATCCATCTTCTGCAAGGGAGAAGTGCGGGAATCTGTTTTCTGACGCTTTTCAATTGAGAATTCACTCAAGTGGCTCTCATCTTTTGGAACAGATTTCTCTATTGAGCGAGAGGCAGAAACTTTCTGAGTCACTCCAGAAAATTCTTTAATAGCGGTTACATCATGCCAAACTCTCTCTTCATTCGCATAGTCCCTGTACTTTGATCCTTCTTGCTTTGAAAGCCTGGATCAGCACAAGACAGACAATGAATGTTGAGCTCAGTTTGCTATCTAACTAAAATTGTAAACGAAGTGATGAAAATCAACTGGAAGTGCGCTCCTAATGAATTAATAGAAGTAGTTTTATTGCCCACGGGCAATGCCCCATGTACAATGACATCACCAAAGCCATGGGCATAAGGAAGTGGAACACAAACGCCAGTAGTGATAAGGAACAATTTAATACGTATTAATTGATACCCTTCCCAACAGTGGCAAAATATGGCCCTTCTACAAAGGTAGTTTCATTAATCAGAGTCAGTGCCCCATGTATGGCACCACCATAGCCACGGGCATAAGGATATGCAGCACACACGCCAGTAGTGATAAGGAACAATTTAATTATTGATACCCTTCCTAACAGTTACCCCAATGCTATTTAAAAAAATTAGGTTGACATCTACTTGAATAAAACTTGAAAGTACAGGAAGGTAAACAACATTAGCAATATTTATGTCTTTGACACTTCACTAGCAATAGAACAGAACAAGATTCAAATTTCCTTCCATTCAGTCAGGCCAGTAAGGGACTTTTCTTCAAATCCAAACTTCCATGTGAAACACAACCTTCATTTTCCACCAAAAAATTCACACTAAGCAAAATAGAACTGTAGAGAACTTGATAAAATAAGTTAAGGAAATCACATTACACATGCCCAAAAACTTTCCCATTTTTCTCAAAATTTTCAATATAATAAGATAAAAAAATGCAATAATTACTATTATCAAGTTTCAACAGCCTCTTAGGAAATGAGTTCTCCAGGATTCAAGATTAGTAATAAAGCTAGGTATAATTAAGCTTCTTAAACCTTGTCCCTAATGGTATCCATTTGATCCAATTAAGTCTTTTATACATTTCCCAACCAGCTCATATTGTTTCTTCGTATCAGCTATAGTTTCTTTTCACAGAAAATAACTTATAGGCACAAATTCTATTTCCCAGTCATTGGTAAACAAAGACATGGGTGCCAAATTTTGTGGTCTCGTGCCATTAAAACTGGTGGAAATAACGGACAACAAAGTTTATCACCTAACCCAATGTAAGAGACAATGGCACAGATTTCAGTCCCCAGAATACGAAACAAGGTGCATATTTCTTTTCTTTTCTCCTCTTTGGAGCGAGTCAGTGGCGGAAAATTTTGATTTAGAAAGAGCAACCATAACCCTATCAGTGTGTGCAACCACCCAAAAATAATGCTAAATTTGAGTGTATCATTAACACCCATACAATATATTGCACACGGTTAACGAAACATATAGTTGAAAATAACTCTAATGTATCAAAAAAGAATTATATAATGATGACCTGTAGTGATCTCTTGCAGCATGATAACTGGAGCTGGGGGAACTCCTCCGTCTGCTGTGGCTAAGGGAATTTTCCACATCTGCATTCCTCGAATATCTTCCCCTATCAGTAACCAAGTCTACTTTAGCACTGCTCATAGATTTCCTTTCTGCATCAGAACGCTGCTCCTTGGTACTATGATATCTCATATCACTATTATCCTCTTTGTCATCTTTATCATTGGCTCTTCTCTTTCCCTTGTCATCTTTGTACCTGTTGCTACGATCATCATATATAGGACTATCATCACGATTGGTTGATTTCCTATAACGCTCTCCAGCATTACTTTCATCCCTCGAACGCTTAATATCAGATTTGTCACTAGTGCGATCTCTTGAAATGCGTTCGTCTCTGTACTTTAAGTCCCTGAGTCTCTTATCTCTATCAAAATCATCTCTAATCTTGCCATCTGAATGTTTATTCTCTCTGTCAAAATCTTCCCTATGTTTATTATCTCTGTCAGCATCTTTCCGGTACTTATCATCTCTTTGTCTATTATCTCTCTCACCATCTTCACGATACTTATCATCCCGGTGTCTGTTATCTCTCTCACCATCGTCACGATACTTATCATCCCGGTGTCTGTTATCTCTCTCACCATCTTCGCGATACTTTTCATCACGGTGTCTGTAATCTCTCTCACCATCTTCGCGATACTTTTCATCCCGGTGTCTGTTCTCTCTCTCACCATCTTCACGATACTTATCATCCCTGTGTCTGTTTTCTCTATCACCATCATCACGATACTTATCATCCCTGTGTCTGTTATCTCTCTCACCCTCTTCCTGATACTTACCATCCCTGTTTCTAGTATCTCTGTCACCATCTTCCCGATGCTTGTCATCCCTGTGTCTCTTATCTCTAGCACCATCTTCCCGATACTTTTCGTCTCTGACTCTATTATCTTTGTCACCATCTTCCCCATACTTATTGTCCTTGTTTCTATTCTCCCTTCCACCATCTTCTTTATATTTATCTCCATGACTTCCATCTTTATGCTTTTCATCCTTGTATCTTCCATCCTTTCCACGCTCACCCCTTGAAGACAATCGCTTATCATCAATTTCTTTTGCATGATCCTGATTTCTATCTTTATCACTAGAACCATCTCTTCTCTTCCTTATCCGTTTCTCAAGCTCCTTCTCTAACTCGGGATTTCGTAACTCATCTTGTATAGGCCGCCCTGTGGTCGAAAAATAAAAAATAAAAGAAAATAAGATGGTCACAAAATTGACAAGTTACAGAAATGTAAACTGAAATTTAGTCAAGGAAGAAAAAAAAAAAAAAGATAGACCAACATCTTGAAAATTTTACATTTGTAACAAATTCAACTGCATGCCATTATATGTGCATGATATCTTTCAACATCTATTAGAATTAGCAAACACATGAAAAGGGGTACATGTGCAAGGAAGCGAGAGGTGCATGTAGAAAGAAGTGACAAGGAACATTATTACACAGTGACAATATTGAAAATCAAGTAATAAGGTGCCTTCTACTTCTTTTACAGGTTATCACACTTAAAAAGGAACCTCAAACATTAAAAAGAAGACGGAACTCTACAAGCCAAGATCAAATTCCAAATGCAAATGTGAAATAGACGTGCAGGAGACAATATGCATAAGCTTAGATGGGAGTCATGGGACCCTCAATGGAGCAAACTTCTTTCGCCTAATTACTAATAACTTTTTCTAATAAATCCATGACAATTAGTCTAAATTCATAAATATATGTGCCTAAGCAACTTATAATACATCATAAATTAAAGTGATTCCAATAAGACAGGGTTCTGTACGCTTCAATCAAATGCAGTATCATCCAGATAGCACCATAAAGTATGATGTTAAAAATAACAAATAATAGAATCATTCTTGATAAATCCTCGAGATGAAAGAATCAATGAAAAGCGTGTTCACTTTCCAAACAAGTATATGGTCAATGCCTACAGTTAGTACTCTCAAATTCTCAATCTTTTCACTTCTTACTTTTTGTCTTGTTAATATGGGAAAAGTAAAGAGTTTGGCTTGCAAGCCCACAAGAATTAAATAAAGAATTTGACTTGCAAAATTATATAGCCCACAAGAAATCAACTTATTACAAGAACTTCTTCCTTAGCACTATAAACACTTTTTCAATGGAAAGCCTTCTTCCTATGGCGGTACGGCCTGGGAACTACTTCCACTTATCAAACACATTTTTTGTTTACTTAGTAGTCCACTTCTAGCATCCTTACTAAGCTAAACAAGGATATCTTCTAACCCACTTAAGTCTTAGCTGACAATCTAATCGTAGAATCATGCAACAAACTAATGTTCTGCAAGACAACAATAATACTCCTCGAGGTTAACCTCATTACAACAGCCCTATAAGTATTTAACTAGCAAACTTCTCAAACCAAAGAAAACGGGAACATATGTTAAAACCTCCAGCCTCAAAATCACAAAACAAAGATGTTAAACAGCCAATTTTATTAGAAATATGAAATAAGTCAGCTTAGCTCAAAGGAAGGCTACAGACCTCTTCAATCAATAGATAATTGAAAACTGGAAGATTGGCACTACTTTTCCACCGTATGATTTGCAACAGCCTAATCTCATTACTAACATATCTCATCAAATTGGAAAGCTACAAAAGTCTTGAAATCAAACCATGTCTAGTTTCAGCACATTAACTACCCATTTTAGCCAACATAAGAAACACAAGAATGGAAGCTTCCTCAAAGCTATCTACACAGTTCCCAAATTCTTTGTTTTTTCCTCCTTACAACAAAATTTATTAATCATTTCTACAACCATTTCATGTAATTCTCTTAAATAAGAGTCCATTGACAAAACAAAACATTCAGGCTAGATAGCACAAGTTGTAAATCATCTGAGATGTTGTTTAATAGAATAATTGTGTGCTTAAAAGTGAAATTTGTATGCTTACTACATAAAGTGTGTTTGATAAAACACATTAAGTTCTCACTTAAAAAGAAAATTCCAGTTAAAAAATGTGTGAAATTATGCTAGGGAGACTAAACCTATGACTGAATGTTGAATGTATTAAAGGAAAAGTGATCTTAAATTTCAACAAACTCCACAAATTTATCTTTTATTTCAGTTCTACATATTCAGCTGCTGAAAAGTATTCAGGACGATTAATTCATCAGTAAAAAATTTAAAAGCTAATTTTCAGTTTTACGAGATACCACCTTGGTAATGACTAATATCTAATAGCGAGATTGCCACACACCAAATCCCCGATCCAATCAAATTCTTCAGCAAACACACCGCAAACCACCCCAACTTGTTTTTATACCCGTGTCAATATCCTATACACCTTCAATCCATTCATTTTGTGCCACACTTTATTAAAAAGATACTTTTTCAAAACACACTCCCATCACTAAGACTATCATAATTACTAATTGGATACAGTAGAAACTAACCGAAAGACTATCTTTCTCTCTGTCTACCACTTGAAACATCTGATTACTTCTAGCCATATTTTGGTGTAGGGTAGTAATGACCTTCTCATTTACTTATTAAGCAGGGAGGCAATTAACTCAACCTTTTGTAACTCAAAAGTACATGCAAAGTTCTAACCTTGTGGAAAGCTGAGATACATAGTCGAATTAAATATATATATATAAAGGTCTCATTTTGGGCAAAAAAAGTAGTACAGTTTCGGGTGAATATTAAAGTCAAGTTACTTAACACAATTAATAGCAACAGCTTCCACAAAACCAACAGTATCGTATCAGTAGATTCAGAACAACAAAAAAAAAAAAGTATGATATGACCACAGTAATTAGTTACCTTACCAGTATTTTCTCTACTTCGTTTGCCCTGCCGCTCTTCGCCAAAATCCCCTGATTGCGATCCTTGCTTTGCAGCCACTTCACCATCCATTGCCGGTGCCTCTGCATCACGCTTAACGTTCTGAACCTTCTTCTCCTTCTCCAACCCACGTTCCTTGTCTTTTGATTCCTTCGAATCTTTATATTGCTGAACTGCTTTCAACCCAGAATCCTTTTCAGACTTATGTTTTGGATCCACCTTCTCTGGCACCGAACAGACATTCTCTTCCTTCTTCTCACTGACATTATCATGCCTTCTACTAGTTTTACTCTTTGAATCAGCCGAAACCTTTGACTTTGAGCTTTTATCTGAATCAAGCCTCGAACTTTCCCCTTTCCTCTCCTTATCAGTAGTCACACCATCGCCTCGCTCGTCCCCTGCACTGTTCCACCTATCCGTAGCAGCGGCATCAGCCTTCTCCTTGCGACGCTTCGAAACAACAGGCTCTTCTGTTGTATCGCCATTACCATGATCAGACGGATCTTTACCCTCTCTCGACTGCGAAGAAACTTTACGCTTCTCACCAGAATAGGAATCCCTAGAAAGCCTAACTGAACCTTCTTCCTTGCCGTTCCTCTCATTCATCTTCACATCTTCTGCAGATTCCGAGTACTCCTTCTCGTCCTTCGAACCATGTTTGCTTTGCTTGTGCGATTTGTGCCGAGAACTTCGCGTCATAACTATATAATAATAGTATAGATAACAGGAACCAAAACCAAAAATTCAGAACCCTAGTTTTGAAGTTTTCACTAAGATCGGCAAAATCATTCAGATTCTGTCGTTACCAGATGTTGTCGGTCAAACACGCGAACGAAATATGGTTGGCCGGCCGGCCGATGAGCCTTCCGGAAATCTGACGGCTGAACTTTCGGAGACTCTGACCGATCAGATCGCGGGATTGCATCGAAATCAGAAACCTAAAAGATACGAGAGCAGCCGAACCCTAGAGAGAGAGAGTCGGTTGTTTTCGTCTGAAGATGAGAAAGTGCGATTGAATCTCGAATTTTTTGTCGAGAGAGAGAGATGAGGGTTTTCTGTATTGTTGCGAAATTAAAATGTGATTCGTATTGGGGTAGGATAATTGGTTTCAAATGACAACAATGCCCTTGATACCTTTGATAATTAGGTACGGAGTTTTTTATTTTTGTTTTGTTTATGTTTTTTTTAATGAGAATATGTACGGAGTTGTGAGTTGTGTGAAATTTATTTGAAAATTATTGTTTTCTGAGAATTAAGTCAAATGGAAATATATATACATATGATTTTGGTTTTTGTTGTGAAAAAAATTTAGTAGTATAATTTTTTGTTTTCATCAATTTAGGAGTTACATAAAATTGATCAATATTTTCAGAAACTTAGATTAGGAGTTCGTACATAAAATTGATGAACAAATATAACAATTATACTACTATGACAATTTAAATTTGATTAAGTATTTAAAAAATTAAATTAAATTTGAATACATATAAAATTTAATTTTTTATTACATTTCTTTTCTTTTTTTCTCAATCAGTTCTGAGAATTTCTTAATGTAAAATTTTATTTAAACACGAAAAAGTTTCTCGTTTAAATATAATTATTTTATTCTAATGAGAAAAATTCGTCAAAGTTATAATCTAGTGGCACAAAATCTCTTTTTCTTTCTTCTAAAGGAACTATAGTATATTTAATTTGATCATGCCTTTCTTTTTCTTTTCTTTTTCTCTCTCTCTCTTGTTTCCCTCTACTTACCCAATAAAGCAAATTATAATTTCTGCATACAGATTTTACATACTAAAAAGAAAGAAAGAATGGTTGAAACATTAGTCCACAAAATAAAATACCACAAAAGGGATGTAAAAACTTTTCATTTGAACATCCAAAAAAAAAAAAAATTTCTTACCTTCATTTAAAAAAAGAAAAAAGAAAAACAAAATTAGTAATGTCTTTAGAAGTACCTAATAAACTTCTTGGAATTGGAATTAATAACTTAATTACTTAAAACTAATTATTTTCCTAATTCCAAATTCAAGGCAGGGATTTCATGCTACAAAACTCAACATAATTTTTTAAAAATTTGTCTTATTACAGCAAAGTAAACATTACTTACCAATATCCTTTTTATTATACAAAGAAAAATCAACTCCTCTTTCTGATTAGTGTGAAGGAAAAATGACGAGTGTAGTAGATTTGAAAGAGATTGGTTTCAACAACTACCTGGTCTGGGCCACAGGCCCACAGCCCACTAACTGTATCAAATAGTCACCACAGATTCAATTCTTGTCTTCATGAAGAGTAGTGGATCTTCTGCAGTCTGTACAGATAAAATGTATATCTCAATAAGTTAATGGATGAAGCAAAGAATAAGTGAAAGATGGGACTATCCAAACAAAACTTATTTGTGGCCACAATTAAATGAATAAAACTCTCTCTCTCTCTCTCTCTCTCTCTCTCTCTCTCCAAGATTCATTGTTGCAGTCCATGGCCTCCTCTTCCTTCACTCTCCCAAGCCTTCAAGGCCCTCTCCTACACAAATCACATTTTCTTGGCCAAACACACCTCTTTAATCTTCCTCAGAAACCAAATTTGATATTTCCCAAAGTGCCCTTAACCTTTCTCTTGAAACCCACAGCCAAATTTAAACTCTCTGAAATATTAGGAGGCAGAGGACTCTGTAATGGAGAAGAAGGTCTCCAACAAGAACTGAAGAGAAGCATCACAGAACAACCACCATCAACACTTGCCATCAAAGACCAAGAGAAGAAGCTAGCTACATCATCATCAACTGTTGAGACTATCCTAGAAGATGGATTTGACAAGGAGTTACTAGGCTTGACTGGTGGATTTCCTGGTGGTGAAAAGGGTCTTCAAAATTTCATTGAAAAAAACCCGCCTCCCAAAAAAACAGCAGTGAATGATGGATTGGCCACCGCAGGGTTCAATCAGAGCTTGATGAAGAAGCCGAAACCGCCTGAATTGCCACTGCTTATGCCTGGTATGATTGCCCTTGTCAAGAATACTAATAGCCCATATTACATGTACTGTGGCATTGTCCAGAGAATCACTGATGGCAAGGCTGGAGTGCTCTTTGAAGGGGGTAACTGGGATAGATTGATCACTTTCAGGCTCGAAGAGCTCGAACGCCGCGAGAAGGGCCCTCCAATGGTCAGTCCCAGGTCTGTGGTTCTTGAAGCTTTGACAGAGAAGGATTCATGATTGTCAAAAATGCTCAATTTGTGCAGAATTTTTCTGTTCAGTGTAATGTATTTTATATATATATATATATATATATATATATATATATATATATATATTATTTATTTATAAGTTCAAAAAAATGCGCACACATTACAATATTGCTTCTAACAAGACTCGAACATTTGTTCTCCCGAAAGGGTAATGTCCGCTGGATTTTCATTTTTTTTGACATAGCAATGTAGAAGGAAAAAAAGAGAGAGATCTGTAATAGCTGAATGTGAAAACTATCAATCTGGAGATTCAGAATTGATCATTTTGCCAGCTTTAATTAAACCATTCCTATCCAACAATGAGCCAACAAAAGTTGATTTTTTAATGGATTAATCATCAACATTCTGCTATATTAGTAAAATGATTTCTTCACTCTTCAGAATGAGTGCACTCATGATGGCCTTCACCAAATATTTTTGATTGTTTCCAGTCATCAAATCTGCCAACTTTAACAAAATGGCAATGTTTATGGTTCTTCTTCTCTATTGATTTGGTAACAATTTTCATCAAATAGAATCAATCTAGTACATAAAATGAGAAACTTGAGCAATCAATTAAAACAAACTTGAAAATAATAAGAAGTCAGAAGTGAAAAATAAATAAATTAAAAATAGGCTGAATAAATGTAGCATTACTTATAAACATACTTTATACTCAAAGGCTTTATTTATTTACGAGACAAGAAGTGTTAGACGTTAGATTAGTAGATGCAGAGAGTCAAAATCTGGCACTTCAAAATTCACTGAAAATACTAACCTACTGTGCTATCGAGGTATTTACCCAAAGACTTTATTTGCTTTATACCAGGAGTACACTCAAAACACTGCTGAAGCACCACTCCATCACAACTTATTGAACCTATTTATTTCTAGTCTAGTTTAACCAATGTACTCAACCAAAATCCAACTCAACTGTGTTATTGCAACCATTTGGGTCTAAAATTTGAATCCTGTTTCACCATCCATCTCTACAGAGTCATAAATTTCAGAAAAACCACATGCCTATATCACAGTCATCTACATCAATCCACTTCATTCATCTCTGATTTACATAGTTAGCTTTTCTCATTTTATCACCAATTAATTGGTTCTAATGCTAGCTACTATAGCATAAATGTATTATATTATAATTATCACACATTTATACAAACATATGCTCTCTTTTTTCTTTTTTCTTTTTTTGGTAAATAAGTGAATAAATTACTTAAAGGAAATAAATATATACGAGTATAGTAGGGCATACCCTACTGTGCAGAATATTGAGTGGGCTAAAAGGAAGCCCAGTCCTGCAAGATGGACCCAAGACTCAACAAGAAAGAAAATGCAACAAAGAGAAGCTAGCCCAAATGCAACCAAAGCTAAAAACATCAGTAAGACATTGATGTTCTAGACCATTCCATATCACCTTGGAGTCCAAATCAGGAGCTCTTGCCATGAATTTAGAATTTAGGATTTGTTACAACATCAAAGAAAATCACAAACTCTTGAATGTTTGATTTTGTGAAGAATTGGGAAGATTTTGTTTGATTTTAGGGGAATTAAGTTTAGGTAGATTGGTAATTTAATGCTAAAAGGGCAGTTCTGGTATAAAAAATGAGTAACGCTCTGCAGGGAATTCCCAAGTCACTATATTATAATTAGGTTACAAAAGTCCATTCTAGAGCAAGAAATACCTTATTAGTGTAAAATGCGTTCCAAACTCCACCTATCTGTAATTTTCCAATAAAAAAAAAAAAAAAAAAATCTAAACTCATTTAACATTGATTTCGTCTATATGATTGAATCGAATCCCAAACTAAACCTCCGTTTCAAGCCCTAGCTAAGGGCAAGTCTATCGCCATGATTAGTTTATGACGGTAACATAAGCCTGAAAACTATACTTAATTTTAAAACATTTTCCAACGCTTGAAAGTGTTTTGTCTTTGTTAAACTACAAAGGTTATGTATGGTAATGAATGATGCATAAGCATCTACAATCACATGTGTATATTTTTTTCCCTTGCAAAATGGAAGAATTTGTGTTTACATGCAAAAACTCCTAGTATTAGATGATTCATGAGAGACATAGCCATTGTGGTGAAATTACTGATATAACACATTACTTTTTATATGCAAAAGCTCCTAGCATTACATAATTTAGAAAGGACATAGCAATTGTGGTGAAATTGTTGGGATTTATATGCCCTATTATAGTAAATTCCTGTAACACCCCCACATTTTCCACGCATAAGTTGATCAGGCTTATACACGAAAAACGAGGGATATCAAAAACAATTGGCAATATACAAGCATGGAATACAAAATGATGGAAATAAAAGAATTTAGACAGGAAAGAAACATTGAATGATACAACATCCATCCATCCTTTATTTAATACAGTACTTCATTACAACTTGAAAATCCTACGTCAGGGATCCCTAAATATAACCCTGAGAGTTCAACGTCAAAAGTAAATAAAAACTGAAACTGAAGTAGTACATAAAACTTCTACCCTGCACTGGATCGTAAGAGTAGATGAGTTCGGATGATGGTCCCACACTGCTAACCTCAGCCTTGAAACGGATACTGACCGTATCCTGAAATAACAACAATGGTGGGTCAACCCCACGAGCAAGTCCTCTCTACTATGACCCAAATCAGAGAATCAAATAAATTAATCATTATGAATCGGGTGAGTACTATATCCGTATACATCCTACGGGAACTATCCGATGTATAACATGACCTCAACCAGAATAGACGGTGATCACTTAGACTCACACTAGGTGGTTAAGTGTCGCCTTTCCCTACCCGGGAAATCAGCTATTATACATGGTGCACGGTACTGACAACACAGACTATAACGAACTACACAGTGATAACACCTCGCAAAGTACTGATGAATATACTGAGCATATAAATTAGGCAACACATGCCAACAATATTAATAAATATACCGATAATGTCAATTTAGGCAACACATGCCAATAATATGAATAAATATACCGAGTATGTCAGTTAGGCAACACATGCCAATAATATTAAACCACATACCCCGACAGCCACACATCTGTCTATCGCAACGAATGCATAAGGTATAAATGAGTCTAAACTTATTAGCCAGCTCATATGGTTCTATATGGCAACACATCCATATAATATAAATGCGACATAATTAAACAGTCCATTTATTTCCTGAAATGCACACAGCATAATAATCATGGTTTATATATCAATTAACAGTATAAACATCCTATAAGATATCATGGATAATTTATCTGACTAAAACCATGGCCTTATTTAATTTAACAGTAATGTTTGATACCATTAAATACGATCATAACACTATTTATATTTAAAAATGTCGTTAAATAAATCACATTAGTATCCGTACTGCGAACGAGCCAATAAATGCTTAGAAAAGATTAATCGGCCATAAGAATAAGTAACGGGTGTTAAAATAATAATTTCGTGGCCCGTTAAACCCGTAATTACCAACACAGTACCTAAAAATCCAAGTTTAAGGTTCTGGAATTTACAAAACAGTCCCTAGGGGTATTCTGGTAATTTCCAGCAGCTGTAGGGACCCCACACGCGCCCTCACGCGCCTCCCAGAGCCTCCCCACGCGCAGCCCAACCTTCCCCACTCTCCCACGCGCCTCCACGCGCGTCTGGCATCAGCCACGCGCTCCCACGCGCGTCTGGAGAGTCCCACGCGCGTGCACGCGCTGCCACGCGCGCACTAGGGGTGCCTTGCTGACGCGGCGTGTGCTGGTTGGTCGGTTGCATCAGATTTCCTACGTGCGCGCCACACCGGATCAATCCACCTACATCTCCTCCATCCAACGTCCACGGATCCGGGTGTACCGCGGTATCATGGACCGCGATGCACCGGATCAATCAGACTCCACTAATGGCCAGGATGCGCGCGTACACCCTCCTATGGTGCGCCGCGTCGCACCGGATCACTCCGGTCGTCTCCCCCACTGCCGGCGACCGGAAAACTCGCAGGAAGGTCGCCGGAAATTGCAGAAAATGCCCGAAAAAATCTAGAAAATTCTAGAAAAATCCCTAAAGTCTTATTTAATTATTTTTAGCCATTATTAATTTCATAGGACATTAAATAAATATATACCATCCTATATAATTAAAATTCCATTAATTTAATAAAATAAAATTAATAATTTATTAACCTCCAAACCTTGGCTCTATGCATAAAAATAAGCTAAACAATTAATTTATTAATTCAAAGGGGAAAAGTAGATAATAACTTGCCTTTTTGGATTTAAAATAAATCCGCCGGTCTGCGCGTAGTCGGGTAAAATTGCCTACACCAGTCCAAGCTTCTTTCTCTTTCTCTTTTCCTTTCACTCTTATAAAATAGCTCTCTAGAATTTATACTTTGCTTCCAACTCCCTTTATTTTTTTCTAAGGCAAGCTAGTTAATTTATACACAAAATATATAATATAAATATTACAAATATCTAATTTATAATAACTTCTCACCCATTTCTCATATTCCTACCTATATGGCTTTAAGACAATGCTATCTTTAATCAAGATATTTGATCCACCATTCTACCATAGTAAATGAAATTCTATCCTAGTATTTAATTTTCCATCATCACATTGATTTATTATAACTATTATTATTATTATTACTAATATTATTATTAATAAATTTTTTTATTATTATATGATTATTATATTATTATTTTTTATTATTATTATTAAACTAATATAATTATTATTATTACAAAAGAATACATTATAACATCATAATACTATATAACACAAATATAATACTTTAATTAGCTAATAATGATTAATATAAGCATAACCAACAAATAAAATTATTATTAATAATACATGCATAATTAAATGAATAAATTTACTATTTTAACATACACAATTACTTTACATGCACAATTAAATGAACATAATATAATAATGTAGTATGCACAAATAAATAAAATTAATTAACCTAACACAAAATTAATTTAAATACATTCTTTAAAATTACGGGGTATTACAATTCCTGTTTGGATTAAAGTGACATATGTTCCTGACGTATCTGAAATATTAATACTTTATACAATTGGTGAATTCAATATATTATGTTTCAATTCATTATGGAATTGATAGTATCTATTTGATTACAAAAGATATTTATATATGTATGTGATGGCGATCAATACATGAATATAAATAGTAATCATAAATTATTCATAGTCGGTAATTATGGATGGACTCATTATTAACTAAGACTTGAACTGGATCCGGGTTAGGTTGAGATATATTGTGAGAGCCGTCGTATGCAATTGCTTCCTATCACTGTCATGGCATTTGACTCTTAAGTATGAAAAAAGTATAAACTCTTTTATTAATTAATAATTACTTTGATTTGTTCGGCGAATACTTCAGGATCCGTAGACCGACACTTTGGGTAGTTATGTAATTAATAGTTAGAGGGTTATATTTTCAATATTTGCATCATTGCTACGTGTATTTATTTTGTATTGATTATGGTTGATCACAAAATAAATTCGAAGGCCTTCGTGTGTTTTTAGACAAAATAATTTATTATATATTTATTTATTTAAATTATTATTTTTTTTCAAACAAATGTTTTATTGTGATCGAGCCAGAAATAATCAATGGTACCAAAATAAATATATTAATTAAGTAGTCAGATTGATAACTTTATTTATCCGATAACTAATTATGCATAGAGGGGTCAAAGTGCAATATTGACTTAGAGGTTATTTATTATTTAATTGGAGTTCAATTAATTTATTTTAATGGAGTAGAAATTAATTTATGAATTAATTGAATTGGGTCCATAGATCGGACCAATTATTAATTCATTGTAACCAATAAAATAATAAGCCCAAAGGATTCTCATTCATAGCCTAACTTGATATTAGAATCATATTAGATTTGAGACATGTGAATTAGAGATTGAGAAGGATTTATTGTTTCCTTTTCCTTATCTTTATGTTGCCTATATATATACATGGTCTATTTATATTTTGGGGGGTGATTTTTAGTAGAAAGAAAAATGAATATATTTTCTCTCTCTAGAAAATTAGGGTTAATGTTCTCATCTAATGGAGGCTCACACGAGCCTAATTTTCCAAGGTCATTCATGGAAGTTTATGAGTGATTCCTAAAGGCAAAACAATTACCAAGAAAATGAAAATCTAAGGAGAAGGCATATTATTAAGGGATTTACAATAAGTGAAAACATTCACTTTAAATGACAGATTTAAAGGTTTACTCAGACCTTTGATGTAAATATTCAATCTGTTAATTGAATGATATACCATATTTTATTTTTGCATAAAACCTGTCTCCATATGATGAATTAAGATCTGTGAATGAAAATTCCTCAAAAAGTTTTTAAAATTAGCACGTTTCCCTACAGAAAATACTAAGAACAAGACTTAATTACTTTTTACATGCCAAAGCTCCTAACAATGATTAGATGACTAGAAAACATAGCAATTGTGGTGAAATTATCGTGGAGAAGACATTAATTTTTCTTCCAAGAACTAGATTCAAATGTAAGGCTAGGAATTCAGAAGAGACATAGTAACTGCTGGTGAAATTATTAGGAACAAAACGTTACTTTTCACAAGCAAAGCTCCTAGATGATTCAAAAAACACATTACAATACTACATTTTGTGCTTGCAAAAACCGTAATATTAGATGATTCAAAAAAGACATAGGAATTGTGGTAAAATTAATGGGGAGAAGATGCGAAAGCTCCTAGTATTAGATGACTTAGACAATACGTAAAATTATTGGGGAACAAGCCAAGGCGAATCCAGAAATTCTTAATGGGGGACTAATATTAAAGAAGAGAGAATTAGAGATCGAAAGATTAAAGAGTTAGAAAATTTTTTAAAAAATAGGGTTAGACTTTAAAGGGAGAAAAGGAGTGAACTCTCTGATTTGTGCAAGATTAGGAATTTAATAGTTCTCTATATTTTGGCTTAGTGATTGTTTAGAGTTTGTTTGGCTTGGGCTTATTTGGTTGGACTTTTGTTTTAAAATTGTGACTTAGCTATTGGGCTTGTTTGGATGGGTTAAAATTGGGAGCTAATATTACTTCTAATTTTTTCTTTTTTAAAACATTAGGCTATATATACCTATACCCAAAAAATATTGAGAGGGGGGGGGGGGGGGCTCAAGCCCACCCAAGCCTCCCCTTGGATCCGCCACTGGGAACAAGAATTCTTTACATGCCAAAGCTCTTAATATTAGGGCTTTGTCTATTTGGATGTAAATTTTCTTTTAAATATATATATTTTTGTGGTGTTTGGTTGTCGTAAAATATTCACTAAGAAAAAAATATTAAAATTAACTTATCAATTTATTTTCGACAAATTATTTTATATGCCCTGCTCGATAGACTCGACCTAAATCTTTGTCAAATACTGAAAAAAAAAAAAAAAAAAATACATCGAAACAAACTGAGACAAGACTTAGCAATTGTAGGGAATTTACTGGAGACAAGATATGGCAATTGCGGTGAAATTACTGGGACGAAAAATTACTTTGAAAAGCAATTGATTTTGCGCGTAATGTCAGTCTTGTGACTTTGTGAATTTGATAAGTTTAATGTAACTTGTAATGATAAGTTTAATGTAGTAATTAGTGGTGACTGGGTCTATCACGACTTCTAGCCAAAACGCGTATGCTATCAACAAAACTCATGTCATTTTCTTAGAAACACATCGATGGAATGGATGTTATCAACTTTACTTGTGAAAATTTTACTTATTAGAATATGACAAATAGAATTAGTATTGACTTCAGATTTCGTGTTTGTCACTTCGTTTGTTTTGACACATACGCACGCATATTTTTACTTATTATATTAAATTTAGTAATTAAAAATGATATGTTCATTTATTATTGATTCATATCACTAATAAGAATAGTGTAGATCTCACTAGTGAGTAGTTAAGTATTATTCTTAAATATTATTTCTAATATTTAGTTGTTTAAAAGTATTTTAAAAATTTTTCAATAAAATGAAAGCAACTGATAAAACCTAAAAATGACTTCTTCCGGGCTGAAACTTATTTAGCAGGCCTATATTTTTCTCTACATATCTACCCACTATATTAAAAATGACTTCTTCTGGGCTGAGACTTAAGTTTTGAACAAAACACGAGAAGTGAGAGAAAAAAAAAATAATCTTTCATGTAAAATGTGTATGCCAAACAGGTCTGTTTTTCAATTCATAAGTGTACGTAAGGTGAGGGTTTTTGAATAAGCAACAATTTCTCCATGGTCTAAGAAGAATATTGTGTCTTCTAATAAGTAAGTATATTTACATGGGAAAATTAAAACACTAAAACGTGTTGAATTTCAAATCCCGTCAAAAAGTGAAACATGGCATTTCTGTCTACTGTTTATATCCCACGCATTTTAGGGGACATACTTTGGTCATCCCACTCATCTTTTTCTAAGAAAAAGTTTTATATCCCCCGCATTTTAGGTCGTCCCATTCATCTTTTTCGAGGAAAAATCTAAGAAGTCTCTTTGGGATGGGGTTTAAGCTTGTACTCTCATTGTGGATTGGGGGACATGAAAAAAAAAAAATAAGTTATTTTCGGAGTTGCTTTTTTATCACACACATGCAAAATTTAACAACTAAATTTAATTCTAAACCAATTTAGGATAGATATACGGACAAATGCTAACAAAATATTCATTTAAAATAGTCTAACTATAGTTTTATCAATGGGGCATCAGAATTTAAATAGTCTAATTATCCAGGGACTTAAGATAAAGAGGAGATTTCTTCGATCTTATATGTAAGAAGGAAATAATTTTTTATTATTTTTTTTTTTTTTTAAATAAAATTTATATATTTTAAACGCAAAGACTTATATATAGATGCGAACCCCACCATAACAAGAAAACCGTGGAGATATGCACCATCCAAGAGTGGCACGCAAGCGACCAAGTTCAAGTTGAGCAAAGTCCCGGGGCCCACACTTGCGCAGTGCCATCGTAGGAGAATATTGAGTAGTATTTGACCAAGGGACAGCAAGGCCTTGACGGTCCAGCCCAAATTGTGCGCAATGCAATAGTTCTCATTACCCACGCACTTCAGCTTCTATATATGTGAAGATTCTTCATGCTTCATTTGCCATCATCTTCACTCATATATTCACTATCATCTCTCTTTATCACTCTCTCTCTCTCTCTAAATATGTTGAGCTTTGTGCGTTCTTGCTTTGATGAGATGACAAAAAGTAGGAAACAAATGCTACCACATTATGTATACAGAGATGAGATGGACAAGAAGTCATCACCAAACAAGCTTAGGAAAACAGTTGACGGCGAAGCAAAACCACTGCTCCGACGAGAAGAAGGCGGGAAGATTAACATTAATGGCCGCGATGAGGAGAAAGGAGGGCTCAGAGTTAAAATTTTGATGACAAAGGAAGAAGCAGCGCGGCTATTATTGAAGTGTAAAGATGGAGGAATGCTTGAATTCAAGGATGTGGCTCATGAGCTAGTACAAATCCCAACTAGTCGGGTCACTGTTGTTTTTGGTAGTGCTAGCAATGATCGTGTGCTTAAGAGTATCCCAGAAGAAGTACTTTAGAATTATAATTTTACCTTTAAATACTATTTGGATTTCATTTGTTAATGTTCTTACAATGAAAACGCAATTTTGATGCTATATATCTTCTTAATTACTAGAAATGTTCTGTTGATCATGTCTAGAATTTCCAAGCGACACTATTCCTTTGTTTGCAATCATGAACGTCTAACAAGAGTTTCTTTTCTCTTATCAGTATTGAATTGTTGAACAGAACTCAAATTGATCAACATGAAAGTGGATTATATATAGCAATATATATATATATATATATATATATGAAACTGTATATTTGTAATGTATTACTCCGTATTACATCTAGTGAAATCATTTGCCTTGTTTTACACCATTTAATTTATCAAGTCACTCTTGACGGTTGCATCGTGTTTGCTTGTATTTATGTATTATGTTGTTCAAGCATTTAGTAACACTATTCTCATAAATGATGCAAGACAGAATTTCAGTAAGGACGAGTCCATTTTTGACTAAAAAGGAGTGTTTGTTTAAGTGAAAACAAACCATTGATCAAAACCATCTAGCTAAATAGTTAGTGAGACTGTGTCGGTTTTTCGGCGGAAAAAGACTCTGAATTTGGGTTTTTCGGTATTATAAAAGGTTTGTTGATTATTTTGAATTTTTTGTGTGCAGCCTAAACAAAATCGGAATGATATAAGATTTTATATTTAGTACTTTTTAGTGATTCAGTTTCTTATTCTATTTTTCAATACTTTTAGAGAAATTTTTAATAATTCAAATCAATTATCAATATTATTTCAGAATTCTCAGATTCAAACTTACCCTTCTTTCTTGTGAACGATTCGTAACAAAACTTTTGTTACGTCAATTAAGGACCTGAATATTCAACCAAAGTTACAATTTATTTAGGACATCTATGTAAGTTTTTGCTTTAATGGTCTTAGTTTAAACTTTAATGAAGTTATTGAAACTGAAATGAGTAGTTCTGAAGGCTTGATTGGAAATCGGTTTTGGTCCAATTATTGTCCACATGTTTTAGTTTAGCTAAAAAGGGAATGTCATATTAAAATTCATCTGAAAATTTGAAGTTGCAGTAATACAGTAATGGCAGAGAGGGATACTATAGTCATCTCTAAGCAGTTGGCATGCATTAATGTTTTTTTGAGCTGAATTGGAAGAGATATATACAGACAAATGGAATATTAAACTTGTGAGAAACAAATTATTGAGGAAGCAAGACACTTTTAGTACTTAAGTACATTTAATCAAAATATAAAGGTTCACTTTTGGTTTCTTTTGCTAAACTTCATAAAACTCTTTTGTCGAAAGAAAAAACAATTCATCAAAACAAAAAGAAAAAAAGCAGCAGCAGGAAACCGCATTCAATTTTCCCTAGTATTGCATCGACTCAGTTAGTATGTTTGATTACGGCGTCAAAAAACACCATAAGTGACAACGATGTTCACTCAAAATGTTGCAAGAAAATAAGAGAGGTCCATGACAGCCGTGGAACATGCATTCAAAGTTCTGTACCTTTTCAATGCCATTTTACATGTGGAACATGTTGGGATTCAATTTGCCACTAAAAAGGATGTCTCTGTTTTTGATTAATTTCTTTGTGGTTTGTCTTCACATCAGTGAAAATTTTGATTTAACATTCACTTGTATGCAGTCAGAAACACAAATGCACATATTCAATTCACTAGATCATAAATTGCTTTATTTATTTTTTTATTTTTTATTTTTTGCAATTTATAATGCATGTATATAGCATTTTTTACAGTATCACCAGAAATTCGACAAGACCATCTTTAATAAGTTTGATTTCTTCAATTTTGTTTACACTTTGATTAGTCTCCAACGCATTAGAAAGCTGCAATGTAATTAACCAATAATAATACCAGACATTTTTTTTAAAATTTCACTCACGTAGTCACAACTACCCATCTAGTTGTTTATCGATTGAATCATCAAATATGGGAAATATACTATTTCCACAGCCTTTTTGGTTGTATGCATAGCCGCCCTTTCCGTTCACACATACAATGTGTCGCATATATGAGTGAAAAAGCTGTGGATATATATTTTCTTTTTCAACCTGTAACTAGTCTCTCCCAAAGTTCTCTGACCGTGATTCCATGGGCGGATATGGTTGATACTGGTATTATGGGGTACTGGCTATGTAGTACTAACAAATGAAAAACACATAGTCAGCATTTCGGGGTATTCAATACTTACCCGCAATGTTATTAACGAAGTGCAAGATTTGAAAACGTTCACAGAGGAATAAGGTGTAACTTTGAATTCACAAATTTGAAGTAAAATTGGAGAGAATTCTGATATATTATTGAAAATTGAATGAATGATTACTCTAATAGCATAAGAAAACTGAAAAATATAAAGAAATTAGGAAGGAAACGGTTCAAAATGTACTATGTATTTATAATAAATAAACTATAATAGCATAAGGAAAGCTAAAACCATAAGCTCCAAAATTTCTACAAAATTAAAGTAAGAAACCTAAATCATAGAATTTGGCTGAAAGCATCTTACACCGGCACCGAAGTTAGTGAGTTTTTTCAGTTAACCTGTTTCGAATCATACTAGCGTTTTGTCCTATCAAAACGAGCTCATCAAAAATATTCCGAAAAATTCTATCACCCCGTCCATTTGGCCTTTTGATGCTCCAAACAGGCTCCAAAATTATCCGCAATCTATTCCACAACAGATGTATTGATATTCTAAGGTTTCGAACAACACAAAATTATGAGTGGCAGAGGATATGCAGGCTGTAAATAAGTGACAAGAGGAAAGCAAAAATCCTTATATTGGCAGAGAAAACCCCCTCTACCACATAACCACATTGTCATTAATTGACCACAGAACCACATTGTCATTAATTACTAAGTTATTGTGAAATTTGCGAGGACCATAACATGACCTACCAAATAATATTATGTTACAAATGGCAAACACGTAGATGTTTAAAATTTCTCACATTGCAAAAACTAGTGGAAAGTGCACCTATCCATCTGTCTTCCCAACTAGCTGCTGCTTAACCCATTATATGCTGACATATGCGTGTGCACATAATTGGAGAAAGTCCTCAATATCCGGGACATATATGTTGCTACATGTTGCTCTCCTAAATAATGTTCTATATCATGGATGAGAAAGTCTAATATTTCGAGTGAGAAAAAGGGGAGTGAAAGATGTAGTATAACACTTGTGCATCACTCACATGTGTGATGGCGCACATGTGAGTGATGTGAATCATTAGATGCAATTACACATGAGTGATGAAAATCGTTGGATGCTGTACAACACTTCAAGAATCTCAAGAAGAAAAAGAAAAATATTTAGAACAAAGATCGGTTTCAAAACACCTACCTACCATGAAAAGGAAATCCAAATTATAAATTGAGTCATCAACCACATCAAAATAATCAAGAAAGGGAAAAAGAAGATTTTAGCTTGAAGAACATTTTCATCCCAATCACTTCAGGGCTTCTCAGTTAATACATAAAAATAATTACAAAATTGGGTTATAACCCATAAAAATAAAGTAAAAATAAAAAAGGGGAAAAAACTCAGTACAGTAGAAGAAAAAGAAGAAGACTGTAAGTAATTAAATGACTCATTTGACCATCTCAAGCACTTCAGGGCTCTCCATGATACTCTCTAGAGAGGGCTTCCACCCTGCTGCAACTCTATGCTCTCTTCCTCTCTCAATCTCTCCCAACACATCTTCCAACCTCATCTTCTCTCCTTTGTTCTTCAGCTGAAACAGTAGCAATTCCAACTCTTCCTTTGTCAACACTACTTTGATCCTCATACCACCATTTTCCTTAACAAAACCACCTCTTTTTACTTCTTCTTGCTCTCTCTCTACTTCTTCGCTATGTCTGAATGTCTCTATGCAATTTCCCATGACTTTGGAGTACCTGAAAACCACCTTTTCTACCAGAAAACCACTCAGAATGCGATTTGGACCCTCTGAAAACTGGCTTTTGGGGATCTAGAACCCAACCTAATAATTCAGTGGTTGTTAAAGGTATCAACTAGTGCATGTGAGGGTGGGGACTATTAATATTTATAGGTGTTGAAGTACTTCTAATCATAGTAGTATTTAATTGTACGACTGTTTCTTCACGAGAATTGATTTTTTCTTCTTTTTTTTTCTTTGCCCTAAGCGACAAATATTAATCACCGTGCATAGAGGGTGTCCAAGTACCTTATAACCATGTTATTACGCCATGCTCATGTCATTTTAGCTTCGTTACTTAATCAGAAATAGGTCTAGGTTTAATATTAGTCCTCTGCTCAGCTTCAAACAGGCAAAACACAACTTATTACATCAACCGTCCATGAAATTTGTAATAATTAGAACAATCTTTCTTTTGTTTGAAAAAAATACATTTTCTTTCATGTCATTTTATATTATTTTCCCTTGCGTCATCAGACTACTTTTAAAAATAAAAATTATAATACAATTGGTATTATTATTTGCAAACAAAAATGAATACATATATATTTTTAGTGACTATATATATATATATATTTAAAATTTATGGCATCCCTGTTATTAGTAGGATAAATTACACAGTTTCCCTTATGGTTTGTTATAATTACAAAAAAAAAAATTTATAGTTTGGGATTTTATTCGGGCCTATCCTAAAAATGAAAATATCCTACATGACCTCCCTTCTGTTATAATCAACACAGATTGAGCTAATGTTAGGTACAAAATTTAATAAAATCCCTAAAATACCATTGTTTGCGTAAAATAATTTCATTTTTTAAAGCAGGTTTGAATAAATTTTCAAACTATCGAGAAGGTTCCTATAATTATGACAAATTTTACAAGAAATCCGTATAATTTGTCCTAAAAACATTGGCCGCATCAAAATTTTGTTCAAAATGATCTTAAAGTCATAAAATAAATAAATAAATAAGTCTTAAAATCACCAAATCTATTGTTCTTAGTCCCCGACACAATCACGGGCACAAAGCTATGCTGAGGTTGAGGGTAGCCCCACCACCAACCAATATCTAATAATTTGCACGATGGATACGTATCCTATTCTTTTATTTATTTATTTATTTTGGATAAGTAATTCCGTTATTTATTTTATTTATGGAAGCAATGTCGTTTTCCTCGTATTATTGAGAAGAGTATATTTATGCATGTCATATAAATGCTCAATAAGTCAGTTATATTGTGAAGGCCTATAAATTAGAATAGTCACCGACAAATGTGCTATTATCTTATTTTTATATTT